CTGATTTTGATTGGTAATAAAATTAAACTGATTTCCCCAAGCCGAGTCTGTTTTGCCCGTGATGGTAATTGCTGAGTGATCTCCCTGTCCTTATCTCCACCCATGAGCCTTTCGTTATATTTTCTCTCCCCTGTCTAGCTTAGGAGGGGGAGTGATAGAGTGGCTTTGGTGGGCACCTGGTGTCCAGCCAAGGTCAACCCACCACAATTCTCTATACAGTGAATAAAGTTACTTCTAAACAGTAGCAGAATATTGCAATTACATAGAGATTACGACAGCGACATGCCACTTACCTAGGTTTCTAATATTTTCTTTCTAAACACTACATAAAATGCACACTTATTGGCAATTTAAAGAAAGCCCTATTCATAGATTCCTTACCTCTTGCTTGCAGAGGTATGTTTCTGTTTCTTCCTCTGGCAACAGAGCTGTAGCAACAAATACCTGTTCTTCCACACCATCTAGCCACAAGGAGGTGGCTGCAACACCATCATACAGCTTCTGTTCAAGATGCAGGCTCTCCTCCACCTGTCCAGCCTGGGAAAAGGAGCCAGAGAAGTCGAGAGCAGAAGTACAAGATACTCTTTCTAACATGTAATATTTGGGAAAGGGCTGGATTTCCGGGTGGGAGTTAGAGGAGTTTTCATTGTAAATGTGGCTCTGCTGGAAGATAGATTTCACGTAAAAACAATTGAAATGTTACCTCAGATGACACATCTTCAAAGGCCTGATTCAATTCAACCAATACTGGTGACACTGAGGATTTATCCTCATCCTGTCCTTCCTCCTTATACAAAGGCATTCCAGATAGCAGTCTGTTCGGTCTGCTATAAAGCTGCTGAGAGAGAAGTACTAATTAGAGTGCTTCTACCACACATAGAGGCCACAAAATTCAGCTATACAGATTCTACTGCTGTCCGAGGATATCACCAAATAACGCTCATGGCCCTCCCACGACTGTTCTGTCATGAATATCTTGAACAAAAGATTGCCCAACAGGAGGTTCACTAGAAGCGCAGAATAAATACTTGTGGCCAGAATTAGCAATGACTTGTTTTTACCAAAAAATAATTAATTACTGTGAAATGAATACAAGATATTTAGAACTTTGGAAGCTGTTTTTAATGTAGTATTATGTAAAGAATAGTGAGCCTGGGTCTATTAAAAATAAAATGGAGGATGTAGGTTAATATAGATCTTGGACTGTTCCCAATTTAGTTGATTAATCCCTGCTTCTTTCAGTAAAAATTCTGTGGCTGAAATCACTTGCTTCTTTGTCACATACTCACTAAGACCAAGAATTGAATGTAACCAATAAATTCAAACTGAAAATACCAGTTTTTCCTCTAAGTTGTCGTTAGAGTACTGGTCAATTTCAGAGGGATGATTTGTTACAGAATTATCCTGGGTTAGGTAAGTAGATCAACATTTTTTCTGAGCCCTTTCTTCCTTTCTAGTGTGTTCATCTGAATGGTAGTGCAATTCAAATCACTTTGAACAAGAGCAGTGCTAGTGCCAATATCTAATAGTTTTTAAAGATGTCACAAAAATAAATTGTTCCATATTTTTTGCATTTACATCACCTTAATGCATCTGTTATACACATGCTGTACCTCATGTTGTGACAACTGCTTTGATAGAGAAAATGCAAAGAGAAATTAAAAATATATACCAATTGTTCTTGTTCCAAAGCTTTCTGGAGCAGTCTCTTCTTGGTATTGAATTCCTGGTTCAGGCTTTCCCATTTCATCTTCATCTGTTCTTCAGATGATGGCTTCTCACCTTCCAAGCCTAATTCCTCAGAGAGTGTATCCAGCTTCTCACTGAATGGCAAGACGCATAAAGGTTTAACAAATACAAAAGTTATAACAGCATAATGTGTTTATTTTCTCTTTCAGTTAGGAAATTCTACATTTAAATGGCTACTTTTAAAAGTTTTTACTTGTTTTTTCAGATAGTAAAACAAAGGCTGGTTTGTAACTGCAAGAAGTTCTTGACTGATGGGATAAAATGTACTTTCTAAGAAACTGTTTAGACTTGCAAGTGCCCATAATAAGAAAGAACCCCCAACACAGACTGAATATATACTACATTGAAATGTAACCTTTAAACAAGCTTTACTTCAAAGCATGAAATAAAAATATTTTATCTGACTCTTTCCTCACCTCCCCTCTCAAAATGCCAGACATACCCTGATACTTTAATGCAGGACAAGCATATGAGTTTAGCTTTTGTGAACAGTGAATGAAGTTCAGCATTTTCTGTTTGATTTTTTTATTTGTTTCCATAGTATAATGTGTTGTGACAGAAGGAAGCCTCAAAAAGAAGGAGATACGTTAAGTATTTTCTGGCATTGTAATAAAAAAACCACATTGAATTAACACAAATGCTGAGGAAAAGAACTTACTGAGTACAGCTTACATCCCCTATGCATAAGTCTTGGTTCTGCTGCCTCATGAACTACCTTCATGTTCTAGACTGGCATGCTGGAGGAGCCACAAAGGTGCTCACTACGGCTGAGATACATCAACAAAGTATTTTAATCAAAGGATTGACTGCTCCTTGATTCTCAAGCTGATAATGTTCACCCTGGTTTCCTCTTCCCAAGACCTGGCTCTTCCTGCTCCCGAGGTCCGCATCGGTAGTAGGCAGTTATTTTCTTTTGCCTTTGCTAGGGCAGACATCTCTCCCAGCCAAAGCCGAGGCTTTTATAGATATCTACTTTCCCCAAATAGGCAAGTATGCAAGAAAATATAGACCAGAGATGAAATTTGAAATACACAAGGCTTCAAAAAGAAAAATATTCACCAACGGCAGGAAAAATAAAATTAAGCAATAAGTATTTCACCTGGGAAATCTGGTTACAATGGCAGGCTACAATGTTTTAGAGATCAGCTATGATTCACACACCAATGCTGGACCATAAAGCTATAGTAACTGATCCACTGCTTGTCTAATGAATCCTACTAGTTTGTAATTTTAGTGTGATGCTTGATAATAAGAATAAAAGGAATTTCTAAATGCTAAAGGTGATCTATTAGCACAAAACAGTTTGTGTAACTATATTATCAGACTCCTGAATTATAAACCAGGACTCCAGTATCCTAGCTGGTGTGTTAAAATGAGAAAACAAAAATTAGTGGATTATATGCAGAAGAGGGATGTAAACATAAGGATGACAAAGCACAGAATCATAGAAATTTACTTTGCAGAAGACCACATGAAAGCACACCTTATACATAGGCCTTCTGAAGCACCTTGCTGTGTTAGGATTTCTTCTCCACGGCATGCTACTGACCGAAGCAGATTCTTCTGCTCTTCTAGCTCTTGTTCCAGCTCCTAGCATAGCAAGTTACAAAAACCAAAACAAACCTCAAACAGATTGGTTTTGCCTTGGAAGGATATGTCTACATTGCATAACTGTCATGCGAAGATAGCTGAGCTATTTCTGATATGGCTTGCTTGAGCACCAAAAGCAGTGCAAAATCTCCACCCAGGGACACAGAAATATTGGGTACATAAACTGGATTGTTGAACTAATTGACTAATGCAGTGTAGTTTCTGGAACCTAAGCTAGTGAGAATGTCTGTGTATCATGCAACACAATATACCCTGTAATGTGTGTATCTTCGCTTCTATAAAGACAATGTTGATTACTATGACAAATACTGTCATCTCCTTACAGTAACTTTCAGGGTTGATTCAATTTAATTTTACTAATAGACAATGGAAGTATAGAGTGATTAAGTGAGTTGACCATGGTCACCCAGGAAGTCTAGTCTGCCTGGCTGTTACAGATATAAAACAGTGAGCTCAGATGCATCATTACAAGAGCACTGAATAAGAAACAGTGCAAAAATGAAGATTTCAGTGGAAATATTATCAAGAATGGCTCAGCTACAGTGTTAAGCACGATCTAAAGATGGCAGTAAAATAAATGCAAAACACCAACTTTCTGTTGCTGCAGGGTGCTCTGGTGCTGCTGTGAGCGAGTGGTTCTTGCTTGTGCCAGCCATTCTTGGACACTGGGGCTTTGTGAGGAAACAAAGTCCAGATCACTCTCCTCCTTTTCTTGTAATGATCCTTGCTTTAAGAGAAAGAAATAAAGATCTTACAAACTCTCTTATATTGCTAGAGAGCTGGCAGGTCCAGCTCATCAACTCAAAACCACATGTAGCGCCACCTTCCACCTCTCAAGCTGCTGGCTCACATAAATTCTGAAGTAAGCAATGACTTTAGATTTGCAACTTCTACTGGTCATTGGTTACTAGCAAGAAAACATCCGTGAAAACGTAAAAATAAACATGCACCACTGCACTTAGCAGAATCGGACACCAGAGATAAGAGACCATGGACTGATGTGTTTCTGAAGGCTGTTCTGCTTCTCCTAAGAAACAGCATTGGTCTGTAATGGAGGGTGCAGCTCTAACTGGCAATGCAGGGAATCAATGGATTGTTTCTGCCAGATTTTTAGTCTAATTAAAGCCAATTTCTTGTCTAACTAAAAACGAGAGAATGCTAGTTGTCATTCTGGTCAAAACTTATTTATCAATAAGTACATACCTATACCCGTGGTTGGCAGAAACACCGTCAGTTAACAGCAGATTATATTATATGAACAGTAAAGACAGTAAAAGAGACCAAACCACAGAATGTTAGAACAGAATAGCAAAAGCAACAGTCCCTTCACTTCATACTTCTATCAGTATGTTTTTTCCAACATGAGTGATTAAACAGGCCTTCTGTGTAAACAAAGCAAAAAAGAGCAAATGCCTCAATAGTTCCAAAAACTGCTTTATCAACTTCTTGACTTCTGAAATCCATGTTGGCTGTAAATTTAAATTATTTTAGCGGTTAACATATTCAAATGCAGGGAGTTTTACACACCAGGCCTAATGTTAAAGACAGACTTCTTGTAGGTCTGGCTACTTGGATCTACACACCTCTCTGGATTTATTTAATGTTACTTGCATGCACACGATGACTGTAGAGTTTGCACTTTTTTTTTTTTTTTTAAAGCTTCAAGAGCTAAAGCTGGGGCTTAATTCCTCTCCCATTTTGTTTATATACCTCATTTTTGTAGGATTCCTATTTTGCCCATGATTCAGCTCTTATTCTAAATAGAGTAAGAGCGCCAAATAGTTCAGACTTTACAGCAGGCTCTCCAAAACGAAAACACATCCCACCTTCCAGAGAGCCTTTGTCTCAAATCAGGCAGGGGCCAGCAGGGCTGAAGGTGGCTGAGGAAACCCCTCTTACCTTACCTGGTGCTCCTTATACTAACAACTGGGACGGACCTCTGCCACCAGCGTCCCTGGCATCAGGCACTGAAACAGCAGAGTTTTGCTAAATAGTAGAAGTCAGGTGTAAGATTTCAATTTTGGGGGATGATGAGTATACTGAAGTTGAAAGGACTGATTAGTGTTAGTGGATATAAACTGTAAGAGGCGCAAAACAAGCAAGCAGGTGTCTAGAGCTAGAAAGAACCATTATTCCATGCTCTATGAAACAGCTTTGTTTCCCTAAGGATTCAGTTTGCAGGTAAACTTTTGATACTTTACTTTGTAGGAACAAGTTTCTAGAAAAGCTGACGTGGTGGAAGTGTGAACAATGTCATTGTAGGACATCAGATTAGGCAAAGAAAATATTATGTGAGGGATAAAGAGGGTCTAGAATTTTAATTTTTCTATTAAAAATGGAAAAAAAGATAATCTTTCTGTAAATTATAAAAAAAAATCTGCTTCATTTTATATGCTCTAGGGACAGTAGGTGTTCAACTTGTAAATTCCTTTAGAGAATAGTATCTACTTCTTCATTGCATTTGGGCAGGCTGATTTCAGTTAGATTTTGTCTCCTCTTCTCTGGGAAAAGGGTTGAGAAGCTACAATTTTGGAGTTATACTACGACAAACAAATAGTAGTCCCACAGTTCCTGCAATAGCAAAGAACGTAAAAGGGATTGCGGCATTTGTGGATGCAATGAGGTTTTGCAAATGTGCTATTGTGCATACTTTTTAGATCAAAATTTTTTGTGAACCAGATTTTATCATTCTCAAATCATAGAATATAAGTTTGAAAAACACACTTGCATCTTCATTTGAATTCTGTCTGAAGGAATTGTATTACATTTCCTTTAAATAGCCAGGGAAATAAATGCTTGAAGCTGTCATTCCTGGGTTCTATCCACTCCAGCACAGAAATAACTGGAAAGTCCCTGAAGAAAATGGTGATAAAATTGATTTGTCAAAGGAGTTCAGAATTGTACAAACTTATATCAGGCATATTTGTCTTGTGGAACTGAAGTTGTCCCTCCCACACACACACTTCGTAATAAAAAGTAAAGAAACGCTATCTGTTTTTCTTTTACTGCAGAATACATTCTACTTCTTTGTTTTATAAGAATTCTATTTATTTTTATTGCTCCTAAGTCACAGAAGTTAGTAGATAACAGTAATAAGGCAAGGTTTTGTATATCGTTCAAAGTGCTTGAAAAATGCTACATTTGGAATCAATGTAGTCTGGAACTCTCCTGACCCACCATATTTCTGGTTAGTTTCACTGCTTTATTTTATGAATAAAGGAGCTGGTCTCCAAATCACATTTTCCATATAATTAGTGACATTAATTAATTAAAATTAGAAGGAAAACTGAAATTGCTGCAAGGAAGTCACAGAATCTCACACTGGCTCCTTAAAAGCCTTGTGTCACAGGAGTAACAGATATGCTGAAATCGCGCCTTAAGGAAAATACAGCTCAGTCTTTACAATGCTCTTGGACTTGCAGAGCAACTTGGGAGGATCCTTCCTCTTCTGGGTGCAGGCTGGTCTATGCCTCTGGGCAATTACAAGGTTATCAGTACATCTAGAGACATGCATAAGTCTGAGTTTCGTACATGCATGAGCCACAGTGCTGTTAGCATGTAACGTTTCTCAGGGTTAATAACAGCAGAAGACAGAGTCAGTGCATTTTTGGGCATTTGATGCTCTGAGCCTCAGTCCAAAAGAAATACTTTATGCCTGATCGTTTGGAAAAAGACATTATAGAATTTCTCATTTGAAAAAAATTGCTCGATGAAAATTTGAAGATGTTACACTGCCTATACCTATTTCTTTCACGATCTGAGTGTCCAAAAAAAAGTTTGCAATTTATAAAGAATCTTATAATGTAGCATCTTAAATGATTCATATTCTACACCTGGAAATTATTTTGTTGTTATTTTTGATATTAGAAAACCATCCAAAAATCTGTTTTAAAAGTTTAAGTAAACTAAATCACACCATTGTATTTTAAAATGCAACACATTTTAAATGCATATTTTAAAACGAAGCAACAAAGTCTGTAATGCCTTTTCACTTCACAAGTAATATACCAGAATATAGTATTATATGCCTACATGCTGTTGATAATGCTTTTCATTTGCCTAGTCATGAGGTTTAATATGCAAGAATAACATTCATGTTACTTCACCTTAGAGGCAATAGGAATAAACACCTGGGGTTTTTCCTTCCTTTTTTTTTGTTTGTTTGTTGGGGTTTTTTTTGTGAAGCTATGTTAAGTTTTATAGTTATCCAGTTGCTTTGGACTAAAAATAGTTCTTAGCATGTCAAGTGACTTTTCAAGCTAACCTCTCAGTAGACTTTAATCTGCATTACAAGCTAGAAATCTTTGAAGCTTATCATGTTTAATTTGCACAGCACAGCCCAGAAAAGAAGTAAAAGAAAAGGCAGGGAAGGAAGTCACAGCAGAGCAAGCAAATTCAAACCCAGTCAGTCACATTACGTAGTTGGGTTTCTTGTATGTATTCGGTTCTCCACATGCTAGTTTAACCTAAAGAACGACCAAAACCAACTGTTAAATAAAATGAAATAGTAGCAATAAGCAGACCAATGCCGCTAGGAATAGAAACCTAGGACAAGACTGAGGTTAAATGTATCTTTGCTTATGTAATTTTTTTTTTGGTGTAACGATGCCACTAAGTATTAGTCATATTTAAAAATGTTTCATTATCTTGATGTTATCTGTTCACTGTGTTGTGCACGCTGTATGGAGGAAAGCATGTATTTAGGATCGTTCTTTCGTTGTGGGAGGGATCCTGCCCCAGAGCACATGCAACCTAAAGGGACTGGGAACAGGAATAGAGTATATCCAGACCGAGCTAATCATCTATCTACTTTATTATTGTCCTTTCACTGAAGACAGTGATGTTAGGATAGTTTCACCATGAAGTGGTGCTGTTAACTTGAAAATGATAAGCTAAAGCTTGCTAGGCAGTTCTTTATTTTGGACTGTTATTCCATTTACTTACTAGAGATGAATAGCTCAAACTGCATCAGTAAAATATTTTTACTCCTTTTCCTAGTTGCATAAAACTGCTGTGAAATCCCCCAACCTCCTGCCCACCATGAAGCCAGCTGGAAAGAGCCACTTACCCGAATGTTGATCTGTTTGTCGTGGAGCACTCTCTGCAGCTCCAGAAGGCTGCCCTTCAGTGTCCTGAGCTTCACAGCCAGCTGCTCTGCCTCGTCCTTGGTGTGAGCCTTCCCCTCCATAAGCAAGTTCTCATTGTGCACGGACAACTCTGACAAGGCTACCACCTTCTGCTCTATTTCAACCAGCATGTTCTGCAGCAGCAAAAACAAAGAACCAAATTCATACATTTTCCAGCATCTCTCACGCTTTCTGGCAAGATGACCTACCTCACCCGTTGCCAAGCTAAGGGCAAGTCAGATTATCATTGCTTTGCCTTGCAGTCCCTTTCAGAGTCCTTAGGAATATGTTTGCAAATGTTTGCATTTGCCATTTCTGTTTGCAACCTTTTTCAAAATAGGAAATTAAAAAGTTATTTGAAACAAAGGATTTGTTGAAGAGGAGATGCTCTTTATTTGCACATTAAAGGTAAGGGTGGCTAAGATGCTAGACTGACATCCGTAATGACAAGAAACAGAGCATGCAGCTAGAGTTACTTCTTTCCTCTTCTTTCATGTACATTTAGTGAAATGCTTCCTACCTCCTCCTATGTGTTGCTCTGGCTGCGTTGATAAGCTTCTCTTCCCACTATTTGCTCTTTCTGATTGGTGCATGATGGACTTAAGGATTTCTGTATAATCCTCTTTAGTCTAAAGAGAGACTTAAAGTGACAAATCTCTGGCATGTTTATTCTCAAAAGCTACTTTCCTGACATTCTATTAACCATTCATGTATTACAGACATAGTGCATATTTTAATCTTCCAAACTCAAAGCTCACATTTCTTGCTCAAAAACCTAGCCTGATATTAAATGTTTTTGTTTCCATAGCAACCGTCAAGTATAGACTTACAAACATTGCTCTTGAAGGAATGTGTGCAGGATAAGATGGACAGAGTCTCTAAAAAGTGGAAAAAATACAGGACTTTATATAAACTTACTGTATTAAGATTTTAAGAACCAGCAAAAGAACAGCAGTATTAACTTTTCCACAAAGCTTACTGTTCTTTTTAATTTTGAGTTTCCTACAGATTATATAAATTACTGCTTTGTTTAAGTTCACAGTGTTTATCTATATGCAACAAACAGCTCCCAAGGTCGGGTGATGAAAGAACACTTGATTCTAAGCGGACTGAAAATTCCAATATTGAAGTGGTGTCGGTGGAAATTTAAGTAGATGTTTAATTCATTGGACTTACATGAAACTTAACTCCCATTTATTCTAAAATAGTTGAGATACTCATTCTTTAATAAAAAAAGGAATCTTTTATCCATCTGTCTCTTGTCTATCTCGTAATTTTAATTATAATGATCAGTTCTAAACTCTCATTTAAAAATGGAAAACTCCTACTAATTTGAGAACCTGGATGTTATGACTGGTTCAAGTCTTGTTAATAAAAGTATATGCAATTACTCCTATTGCAGCAAAATGTTTTTTCTCAGTTGTTTTGATATTCTGGGTTGATCAATATTAAATTCATAAAAATAGTAACTAATGATGATTATACTTTACTTCTGAATGTGGGTAGGGTTTACTCCTGAAAAAAACACAACATTATCCCATTCACCACTGCTAGTGGCCGTGTGTTCTTCAGCTGGAAAAGGAGGAGTAGGAAAGCACACTGCAGGTGTTTTCAAACCTATCAAGTGAGCTGTTCAACAACTCTAGCTTGAGTGGAACAAGTGAAGTGAATACAAGGCCTTTAAAGCAAAACAAAATGTCCTCCAAAAGTTGTAGACCTTCAAATGTTCTTGCAGTCAGGATATCTTGTTTTCCTACTGCTATGTTTACATGCACTTTCTAAAGCACTGCTTGCAATCTTTAATAAGAAATGAAGAACAGGCTATTTTTTTTTTCACAAATCATTGATGAAGCTAACTGAGCACATATAAGGTGCTAAGGAGCTCAGAAATTTCTTTCCCAATAATATGCTGGCTCAACCCACTCAATAATGGTCTTAACATTAATGCTCCGTATTTGCCTCTTTATTCAGATAAAGCTATGTCCATCCTGTTCATCTAAACATTACAGGACTGATGATTTTACCTGACAGTCTACCAGCTGTGCTTCCATGTCCATAGGTTCCTCAGCAGTAACCAGAGCGGTGTCCAGCGTTGCTCGGGTATTGAGTAGCCAGTGGTGAAGCTCATCAGCTTCACAACGGTACCTTTGAAGAGCCTGCTCTTGCCGCTGTTCTTCCAGCTGCTCATTCAGTTTTTCCTGGAGGAACAAATTCTATTTTACTTTTTAAAAGAAATATACTACAACAGTCACTTTTAAAAAAAATTTCCCTCTCTGTCTCTCACAACTTCTACATAGTATTTTTAAGCCATAATAAGTCCCTTGGAAACCTTTACAAAATACTATTGCTTTCAATCGATGAGCATGCTTTTCTGGTGACTAAAATTCTGTTTCAGTTCAATCACATGTTCCTTCAGCAGATCTCTGCTATTACAGCCTTCTAAAGGTGAGGTCTTTTCTGCCTCCTCTTGCTGCTCTCCTTTGGGTTTCCCCCACATTGATTCAGTTTGCTCAACTAGCACAGTACTGTTTGCTTAGGGAGAAAGATGCGTGGGGACACAGAGCTGGAAGTGGGCTGCAGGGAAAGGAGAGCAGCTTTGCCTTTTTTGGCAGCAGCAGGCTGTTAAATAGCCTTATTGTATCTCAAGAGAGGCACGAGAGGGGTACTTCAAGGACCCAACAGGGTACTGGTGGGCCTTTGGTGTAGCCGCCAAGGGTAAAGAGAAGAATGAAGAGCTGTCTACCTTGTCTGGCCTCTTGGAAGATCCCTGTGTCGTGGGGTGTGGAAGAACATTAAGCTCCAGTGGCTGCTGCAGCAACAGCATCGCAGCAATACAGACTCCCTGGCTCCATCCGTCAGCTGGTCCATCCGTTGGACAGACAGGGAGTGATCAGCAAGACTTGCTCACCCTTTAATAGTCCCATATGAATTTGAAAACTGGCTGAACAGCTGGGCCCAGAGGGTTGTGATCAGTGGCACAAAGTCTAGTGAGAGGCCAGTAATGAGCCTCAGCAAGTTTACTGATGACACAAAATGGGAGGAGTGGTTGATACACCACACCAGAAGGTTGTGCTGCCATCCAGATGGACCCTGACAGGCTGAAGAAATGTCTAACAGGAATCTCATGAAGTTGAACAAAGAGAAGTGCAAAGTCCTGCACCTGAGGAGGAACAACTCCAGGCACTGGTATATGCTGGAGGCTGACCAACTGGAAAGCAGCTTGGCAGAAAAGGACCTGGGCGTCCTGGTGGACACCAGGTTGAACACGAGCCAGCATTGGGCCCTTATGGCAAAGAAGGCTAATGGCATCCTGGGCTGCATTAGGAGGAGTGTTGCCAGCAGGCTGAGGTAAGTGATCCTTCCCCTCTACTTAACACAGGTGAGTCCATACCTGGAATACTGTGTCCAGTTCTGGGCTCCCCAATATAAGAGAGATACAGAGCTCTGGAGAGAGTAGAGGGGATTTTGGGAATAAGAACCAGATAGAATGGGATGGTCAGAGGATACTTAGATGTATCAGATAATATGGAACCTAAACATACTGCAAATGGTATGGAACAAGGGGAGAAGATTGTACTGGATCCAGCTGGGATGGAATTAACTTCATCGCAGCCTGTATGGTGCTATGCTTTGCCACTGTGGATAAAACTGTGTTGATAACACAGCAATGTTTTGGCCATTGCTGAACAGTGCTTGCACAGCATTAAGGCTTGCTTTCCAACTGCCCCTCACAAAGGCCAGTGGGCTGGGGGTGGGCAAAAGGTTGGGAGGGGACATAGCCATGATGGTTGACCTGAACTGACCAAAGCGATATTCCATACTATATGAGATCATGCTCAGCAATAAAAGCTCAGGGAAAGGGGGGGCACTTATGGTTATGGCGTTTGCCTTCCCAAGCAACTGTTACACGTGCTGAGATCCTGCTTTCCAGGGAAGTAGCTAAACATCTGCCTGCTGATGGGGACGTAGTGAATAAGTTCCTTATTTTCCTTTGCTTGCATGCACAGCTTTTCCTTACCCTATCAAGCTGTCATTATCTCGATCCATGAGTCTTTTTTCCTGCCTTCTATTTTTTCCCCATCCCACAGGAGAGGGGAGTGAGGGTGGGTGTTTAGCTGCTGGCCAGGGTCAACCTACCACACTCATAGGGAAATTCAGACCTGTATGTACAGGGCAAATCCCTCACACAGGGAAGTGTTTGCACAGCTTTTCTGAATGCTTGATTTTAATGGGAAAATTAATAATTGCATGTGAGAATAATTTAAAAAAATAATGATAGTTGTTAAGTGTCTCAGATAATCCAGAGCCGAACAGTTCTCAAGATCTAGCTATTTGAATTAGGTCTACAGAAAGAACAATATTACCAATCCACACCCTCAACAGCAGAATGTTTTCATTACCTGTTCTATCTGTATTTCTACATTTACATCCCTGCAGTGTTCTGAAAGATTTTATCTGTGAAATCAGAGCTATAAAGTGCACAGGTTAAATTACTGAATATTGTCTTCCTACCATATATATTTCTTAGCCAGGATTATTGGGGGATACTTGTGCTATTGTATCAAAGTAACTGTCAGAATCCTAACCAGAGTTAAGAGTAGTATATTTGATTCATGCTTTATCTTGAAATTATTAGTTAGCATCTCCTCCTCAGTACTATCAAGAAGTTTGTAAGATCCTGTATGGGGTGCAAGCTATAAACAGTAAGATTCCTATTCTACTTCCAGCTCCTTATTTTTATGTAAAAGCCATTTTTCTTCTGAGAAGTAAAACTTAGTGCAGTTTTTGAAGAATAACAAAGATATTTTCTAAGGACCTGTTCACTGCCTCAGGTGACTGCACAAAACTAATGCAGCTGATGCACCCTGGGACTCCCCTGTAACCCAGGTAGATCCACAGAGCCAATTCTCACTCAGTCTCTCAGAATCAATTGATGCTGGAAATTATGAAGGCAGCACTTGCTGTGTTTATGAATTCACTGCTGCAGTTCTTAGCAGTACAGCAGTAAAGCTGCCCTGCACTGTTCAAAGTAGCCAAACTGTAGCCAGCTTTAGCATGACTGCGTTTTCTCACCTGGATAATATACATAGCAGCATTCCTATATGTAAAAGACTTTTTAAAAATCACCTTAGTATTAAAGGATTTTTGGTAAAGTTGGTAGACAAAGAAATTTTTTTTCCATGATAAAAGTTTGCATGCAAATCACTGGGAAGATGAGCATAGACAACGATGTGATGTTTTGGAAGAGGTGTTATTCGTTTTAAGCTTTCCCCCTTCCCTTGTCTCCCAGTTTGGACAGGCGACTCCTCAAAAGTTTACTATAGATAACATGACTTTTAATACCTGTACTTCATTACTTCTCCTGTGGAGGACAAGGAATACCAAGGGAACCTATTGAGAAAATGTCAATGTGGATATTAAAAAAAAATTATACATATATATATGTAAAAAACATGACTCCTTCAGTGTGTTTCCAAGTTGCTTCTGATTACTTATCACCTAACATTAAGATGAGGGGCTTGCTAAAAAAGAACAATAATTTATTAATGAAAGGAATTGTGAAAAATGAGCAGAACTGAAAATTACTTTTTTAATTATCAGTGTTCAATGGTGACTAAGGACTTTGGTGAAAGTACAGGTATGCCAAAAGTGGCTCTGAAAATCTGGAATGTGATCCAAAAGACCCACTCCTAGCATTTTTTTCTTGTACCTCTAATAATTGTCGTTTTCCTGATGCCTTCATTCGAATTGTGGCCATTCGTTCTGCCAAGACCGTGAGAGTAGACTGCAATGCCAGCTGATCAGCAGCCTCTGCATCCAGTGGTTCTGAAACCAGCTCCTGGGCTAATGATGTCTGAAGCTCAGTGATTTCTTCTTGTAACATTAAAATCTCATCCATCAAAGCCTATTTAGAAATGAGAGCAGAGAAAATATTTGCTTCATTTATCACTGAGAAGAAAGTATCTCAGGAGGCACAGGCTCAATACAAAATTCAAGATAACTGTCCCAAAGGAACATGAGGAACACAGAGTAGTGCAATATATTACTGCTGGTTTGGTAGAGTCAGAATTCAGAAGGACTGAGTCCTGCTTTTAGATGCTTAAGCTAGGATCGTGCATCTGATAACTGAAATACGGATTTAATTACTTACCTTGAATTTCAAACATATCACGAGAAGGTATTCTTTTGGAAATATTATACATACAGATTTATTCTTCCAAAAAATTTTCTGGAGGGTATTCTAGTAGATACAGTGAAGATAATGAACAAGTAAGCGAGTGTGTGTTTGCAAGAGAGAAATAGGGGGCATGAGTTAGCTTCTAGCCTGAAACTTACTAACTGGACAAAGAACATCCAGCAATATATGTAAACATCCAGAGATTAACTGCATGATGTAAAAAAAGGTCCTACGATCATTCTTATCCTATAAATCAGTTTCAAGATACCTACAAAAGGATGCTGCATTACAGAACAGAAACTTTACTTTCATGTCTGATAGTATATACACATTGGATGCACAGGACACCACACAGTGCTACAAAAGCCAAACGTTATCCTTTTCAGGTCATGGAGTTCCTACTGAAATGAGAACTGGCCCCACCAGGTAGTTTCAAGCTATCACATAGAAGGCTTAGATGATTACAACTTGGATATATGTCAGATTGGTTACTTGATAAAGTATTCTCTTATTATCCAGAGCATCATTTCTCAAGACTTCCCTTGGAAGGGAATTTTTTATGAGCTTTGGTTTGTTTATTTTGTTTAACAAGGCAAAGATTGTATTTAGATCGATTTACAATGCATCAGTATTGGTTATGATCTTAGTAAATTTGGGAACATTGTAAATAGTCCAATATATGCTAGTAGCACTGATGCTGAAGAACAGTATGTGTAGGTGTCACTGAACACAATCTTTGACAAAAGATTTTGCTTTGAAAATTTCGATTGGACAAACTCTTATGATCTATTCGACTTTTTAAAAAGGCTCCTTATTAAAAGAATCCCCATTACACTACCTTTAGAGCAGTGGGAAGTCCAGAAAGGCAAAACATACAATTAACAGAGAAGGTTCATACAACTAATGCATGTTTTTGAGGCATCCAGCCATGAAGAATACCACTATTTTCTAAGAAAAGGGAACTAAAGATACACAGGTAATGCATGTTCTCCCTCTATTTCTCACATATAAGTTTTTACCTGATGTTCAGCCATCTGGCTCTCTGGGCTTTTGGCTGGTTCCAGACTCTCATTTAGTTTGATCTCAGTGGTCTCCATTTTTGTGGATATAGACTGGAGTGTGTCCTGATATTTCTGTTGACGCTCAAGAGCTTCATAGAGGGTGCGCTGCTTTTCACTGATCTGAAGAGGAATAAAGGTATAAATTTTGACCTCTGATACAGGATTTGCTCTTTCTTCTGCTTCATACATCCCTAGGCTTATGAGACTAAAATCAAATCCTTGCAACAAGTTTTCAAAAGTATAAATTATAAAGCAAAACATCCATATTAAAAAATATGTATCTGTTTAAACATCATCAGTCAAATCCTAGGTTCTGTGACTGAAAAAAATGGACTTTAATAAGCAGGGAAAACCTAGGCACATTCTCATGCCTTATTTTAGATTTTATACACTCAAACATGTGGATGTGTGCTATTTGCTAGATGCATAGCTCTTAATACTCCATAATAGCTACTGTGCCTCTGCAAAGAATTAAAATTTATAGCATGTGATCAAAACTTTGACCATTTTCATACATCACTGAATGATTATGCTGCACTACTGTATAGAAACGTGTTAAGTTGACTCAGTATTTGGAGAAACTGGATTCTTGGGCCTCTTTTGCCAACTCATCCAGCATGAGTGGATTTCCCTGTTACGTTATGGAATATAGTCTGATAGTAGCCAATATTTCTGAAGGCAACTATCGGCCTTAATGACTTTTATTTTTTCTTAATGGAGGACCATCCTGCACAGGCTTTCAAACAAAGAACAAAGCCAGTGTAATATAATGTCACACCTAACAATTCCTGTTACCACCTGAAAATCAAGAATTGCAGAGAAGAATATTAGCTGAGCCAGTTCTTTGCATTTTATTCCTCACAAGCTAGCTGATTATTTTGAACCCTTCAGATGAAGACTTACCACATTTTTCAGTGTTTCCCAAGAACGCTGCAAATCGTCCAATTTGGCACTAGCAGCTGATTCTAAGCTTGGTTCATAGAACTCCTGGGTGGCTGAAGTGCTGGGTTGAATTTTAGCAGCTTCTGTCTGCAACTGTTCAGCAGATAAGGCCAACTGTTCAGCAGATAAGGCTTGGTAATAAGCAATGTCCTACAAGGACGAAGCACATTATTGCACTTTCAAAACACAAGATACTACATAAGAATATCCCCCCACGTACTGCTCCATTGCATATGTCCATTAAAATAAAATCCACAAAGCCAAATCCACCAGGAAACCTCTGAGCAACACAGTAAATAAATATTTAATAGTAGTACCCTGAGTCTGGTTTGGAGCTTCTCTGTGGTGAAAACTGTAGATGCATTTTTTTCATGTTCATATTAGCTAGGAGGCGCAGGAGGCAACTGCGGACAGACATGGAAAGACTGGGAGGGGAGTGCTACAAGTGGGAGTGTTGTTTTAGCATCATCACAACTACACATGGGGAAAACCCATCACAACAGACAGTGGGTTACGGTACTGTAGGTAGCAAGAATATCACCCTAATGAACACTAGCACAGAGAAGGCAACAGAAGAACCAAAAAGGAATATGCTGAAGGACTAGTCAATGATGTAAGAAAGAGTATGAAGCACTAGCTTATAGTAAGCCTTCAAACAAACAGGTACTCTCAACTAACTTATAAAAGATAATGGGAAAAGGGACCAAAAGTACTAAGGAAGATGGGCAAATGTTCAAATTACCATCGAAAATTCAGGGTGGAAATGTTTCTTACTGGAACTTCTATACTTAGTGTATGGGGATTTCTTCAACTATTGCAGGTGGCAATTAAAAAGATCTACAGAAAATGTAAAATTAAGGAAACATGCACAGTATCTATATTTAAGTCAGGAAAGCAGACTTGATGACAAGGATTATTTAAAACTGAAACCATGTATGACAGTTACCACCACATCTATCTGGAAGGTGCAAGATGCTGCAACCTTCCTTCTTCTCACTTAGTAGCCTCACTTAGTGAACTATGCTCCAGACCATGCGACACAGAAGCTGTTGTCCAGTTTCTTCAATCATTTTGAATTTGTAAATGCCCCTGGTGAAAACCTTAAAACTCAGTTTTGCTGCCAGTGAAATCAATAAGAGATTTTCCACTGATTTCTGTTAGATTGGACCAAACCTACTTTCGGGCAGCTCTCAGAGTTATCACAATATTTGCATAAAAAGTTGCTCAAAATCTAGTGAAAAGTATACTGGGAAAATCCTCCTCCAATGATTGCAAATTACTCAAATTACTTCTTTCCTGACCCTATATGATGGGGAGGAAAATTCAGCATGTCGAGCCATGTGACTGAGAGAAAACTAAGTGCCTTTCACTCGACAGCTTACAGAGCTGTGTCTACCAAATAGAACACAGACCATTTGCTGTACTGCAATTGTAAGAGTGTAAACGTGTATAAATACCTGAAGGGAGAGTGCAAAGAAGACAGAGCCAGGCTCTTCTCAGTGGTGCTCAGTGACAGGACAAGGGGCAATGAACATAAACTGAAACACAGGAGGTTCCCTCTGAACATCAGGAAAGACTTTTTCCACTGTGAGAGTGACTGAGCACTGGGACAGGTTGCCCAGAGAGGTTGTGGAGTCTCCATCCTTGGAGATACTCAAAAGCCATCTGGATATAGTCCCGGACAACCTGCTGTATGTGGCCCACCTTGAGGAAGGGGGTTGGACCAGATGACCTCCAGAGGTCCCTTTCCAACCTCACCCATTCTCCATTTCTGTATAGGTGTATAAAAGTTAGGTACTAAATAAGACTACTTCTGAGGTACCAGAGCTCAGAGCATAATTATGATCATAATTTGGAGCAGAATGTTTGTTTCCCAATGTCATTTCCATATGTTATCTAATACCATATATGAACAAAACCAAACAAGCTCTGGAAAAGCATTGAAACCAGGTCACTCCCCAGGCACAGCCACCTCTTGGGCTCTCTTTCTAACCAAACCTAGGGAGCACAGAATGCCCACCTGTCCCAGAAAATACCCCATCACCCAGCAGCTGCACAGATATGGTTCGTCAGTCTTTCCCCCAAGAATGAAGAGACTTATCAGGTTATCTGCTTCATGTATGGACATTTTAACAATTAAGGTACTACTCACAGATCACCACCAATATTTTTAAAAGGAGGCAGCAGCCAAGAATGTATTTTACAGACAGCTCGATCACACATCTTTACTGAGGATGCCTGAAAACATCAGTCTCTCCAGAGAAACAGAAGATCCAAGAACGGACAGCACATTAAACTGTCCAAAAGTGTCAGATGAGGTATTTCTTCAGAGGCAATAATTGGGAAACTTGAAAAATTTAATGATTAAATTGTTTACAATATCCAGGAGCCAACAGCGAATAGGTAACAGCTTAGCACAGCATTCAGAACTGCAATTTCAGAAGTTTTTACTCTGACCACAAGTGATCTTTCCAAGTCACAGTGAAAAATTGCACCAGTGCAGGCAACTTCTCATTTTGCCTTGTCTGCAGCTACTCTCCAGCCTTCAGCTAGTCCTCTCTTGAGGCCAAGAGAAAAGCTGTGCTTCTGAGACTTCTTAATCTTCATTTCCAGAATAAAGGCCTTGCTTTTAAAAGAGGGGAAAGCAATCCCTTTCCCCATCTGTCCAACTACTTTTTGGAGTAAACAACATGGCAGTTTCTTTTTGGTAGGGCTTTAATGCTGATAGTGTGAATCCAGATGTTTTTACACATAACAGAGTTTGTTCCCCCTATAAAGGGCCTAACATCTCATACCCTCTTTTATGAAAATTAGCCAATGAAAAGTACTGAAGCTGTGTTGTTAGGATGTAGGAGCAAAGGGTGTGTTTAGATTTCAAAAGATATTTAACAAGAGCTGTTGCACCTTTGATGAGTTTTCATATAAGGAAGGAGAAAGAATGATTAAGTAAGCTGTGAACAAGGAGATAGAAAGACATTTAACAGTGACCCAGGGCTGAAGACTTGAATCACAGGATCAGCGACCTCCAAGGCTTTGTGTCAACACTTCAGCGTTTTCAATTCAATTGCTCTGCGTTATGCATCTGGAAAATAAGTTTTAAAAGAATGTGCTAAATTTTAATCAACTATATCTTCGGGTAAGCGTGGGAAGTTTTAGCCCCAGAGGAGACTCATTCAGTACTGCAACACAGATGAAGCGCCTGATTTTGCTATACATCAAAATAAACTGCATTAAAGGACTGTTATCTATTGCTGAAATATTATACACTGTGAAATCCCTCAGCCTTTTAAAAGTTAACATTTTCATAGTTGTTCCCTGCTTTCCCTCCCTCCCCCCCCCGTTGTTTTTAGAGGAGTTTCAGTACAAAACAAACAACCTGGGCAGCTGTTAACTTATAACAGTGCGAGATCTGTCACTTTCTTGTATTTATGGTCTTGGTTTAATCTATTTCAATACATAGAACCAGTATTTCCACTAACATGCACTTGGCATTTGTTTTATATTTTCATTACTTGCTAGCGATGTAAAAATAGTGCATAGATGTCTCAGTTCAGACTAGCCAAAGAGATGCTAGGAAACCCTGATGAAACTATACATAGATTATTATGGATGAAATTAAAAACAGTCTTAACACCCAACCTTCCCTCCTAAAAACATCCCACTTCATATGAGCTTTTAATTTTTTTTGCAAAGAGTAGATTAATGTAATTCTTTGCTTTCTAGAGTTCCTGCTTACATGTTTTTCTGGTACTTTGCAGGTGATCTTCCTGTGAGAAATTTTTTCTCTTAACACTGGCTACTTTTTAAAACAAAACATTTCCAAATTAGTTTTGCTGAGTGTTTTACTGAATACAAAATGTTTTTAACTTACATTTAAGCTCCTAATTCACTATTCCCTAGATTTTTTTTTTTAACCAACCTTCTTTCCTGAAGTCTCCTTGGGCATTCATCATGATCAGCACTGGCAGTTTCACAGCTTCTTTAGTTTTAATCTCATGTAAGTATGAACTTAAGCATTTTGTAAGTAAACCACTGCATTTGGAATGTTCTTCCACTTCTTGTTTAGTACATGCAGTTCATTTCAACATTAACCACACTGAAGAAATCTTAATCTGTCAGTTTTTTAGATTATTATAACACCAGCTATTTTATCTCTTTCAAAGATCTTCTGCTAAATGGAAGACATAATGTTTTTGTCCAATTTTGCCCTGTAAATCACAGGTTCTAAAACTTGCATTTTGGTGTCAGCTCATGGTACAACAGCATCTTCACTGGATTTTCTTTATTATTTGAGCTCTTAATCCTTTTTTTTCATTTTCAGAGAAATGTAATGAACTGACACTGAATTTGTTTATTAGAAAGCAAGCTGCTCTTTTTCCTTTAACTCTTTCACTGATTAACACTGTCATAAGATTTTTGTGCTGAAATATATAGCTGCCTTTCTACTGTAAGTAAACTTTACTGGGAAATTTCTGATTATCTGAAATGACAGAACACTAGAAAAATCCTTCTCATTCATTATGTAATTTTTTTTATTATGAAGGTAACTTTATAACTTTATTGCTATGAAGATTTTGTCACCATTCTTACTATCTTACCTCAGTATTCTTTCTTATGTCAGTTCATGAAAACGAATCATTTATATTTAGCAACTTCTATAGAACCATAAGCATCTTTGAAATGAGTGGAAAGAATTAGTGAGCAACTTGCTCAAACTTCTTTATTTCTACTCAGCAATGCAATGTGAGACCATTCTACCCGTTAAGTCTGCAGTGGTCAATCTCGGAAGCAGCCACAAATGAAAAAACAACCAACCAACCACAAACCCCACAACATGATGAATGCAGTGAGGTGGTGACTGCTCCTAAGGCTCATTTATAAACTTCTAAACCATAACATTTTATGTATGTCTTCACGCGCGTGATGCTTAATGAGCTGGTTCATCGCTTACATTTTAATCAATGCTGATGTACATTTGTTCCTAGTAGAAGTGCCAGGGTCCTCAGTTTTGATTTAAAATCTAACTTTAGCGATTTCACTGATCTGCCTTAGGTTGTCATTGAAAGTATGGAATGAACAATACATGAAAGTTAATACTTGAAATGGTTTGAAGTGGAAGATATCAGACTGTGGCTTCAATGCTACAATGCCAATGGTACCATGAGATAGATGTATATGGACATAATGCAATGTTTTATTATGGGCAGTACAAAATTGCATTTTTTTCTCAGGCTGCAAGATTCCATTAAGTGCTACTGTGAAAATAAAAATTAGGTTATAAATAGAAAACAGTAGTGACATGGAAGACCTTTGTAATTGTCACTTAAAATTTATTTTTAAAAATAGTGAATAGCTGTAACACCAAATTTATACATTTTAAACTCAGAAGTCAATATTTGTACCCATTTTGGACTAGAACCTGAAGGTTCAGTTAGGTCAGAGGTTAAGCCTCAGATCCTTGGAGTTATAGGTAAATATTATTTCAGAGGATTAAACAAACCACCTGTGGAATGGAACCATGCATGTCTCTGAGATAAAAGCTGAATGAATGCCAAGAGGGAGGTACCTGGTTAACAGAAGCATCTGTATTAGCCACAGGTGAGGGAGAGCGACAGGCAGGTGGAGAGGAAATCTCACTGTTGGTTCCCTCCTCCCCAGACTCTTCAGTGACAGGGGAGAGCAGCGTGTGACAGCGACCAGCAGTCATCTGCCACAGGAAAAGCAACCCCAGGGCACAGGAAGAAAATCAGTTACCTCAACTTAGGTTTGACTTAGATTGAGATCAAAACAAGAAAAACAACACATGGCCAGAATTACCATGACATTAGTTAGTCATACTTAACACTATTACATTTACCAGCTTAAAAATCTGGTTCAATCAATAGTCTCATTTACTTGTCATACTTCAGTATGCACATGCTCTCCTGTACCCTAATGAATTTAAAAGAAAATGTATAGCAAGCAACTTAATAACAATAAATCAGGGTTTGCCTAAATGTCTTCTAATACAATAACTGCTGCATATGCAAGTACTATGGAGAGCTACAGAATAATGCAGTATTGGCCTCAGTATCCAGGCCTGGTTAGAACAACAAGGAATAGACTTAAAATGTAAAATACACCCAGTCCAGTATCAACATATTTTTCTTGCTTCCCCAATGTTGTTAATGCAGTGATAAATCCTGAAATCTGCACTCTTATTTTCACTCAGACAAAAATCCCAATAACATCAGCAGCGTGTTTGTAATGAGACCCAATTAGAAACAAACAAAAGCAGAGTAATTCAAATATGAGGCCTATGGCAGTACTTAGCCAGCTTTCATTTCCAACACACTCATCTGAGAATATAAGCAGCATACTGTCAATTATCACTACAACATTTTAAGACAAGTGCTTTAAAAATACGGTGCGTAAAACCTACACACTGCAACACTGTGTTATGAAATAATATTTATTCTGGTTTTATCTTATTCCTGCAATTCAGTAGTTTCTTAGCATTTGCTCTTGCATGCTGACAGCTACGAAAAAGCACTATATTTGCATCTCATTACAGACAACTTCCACTGGTATTTGCCTGGTAAATAACTTCGTCCTTTATCAGCAAGTCTTGAAAACCCATATGAAGCAAAACACAGTAAGGGGAAGCTGCAGCTTGTTTTGTTTGCCGTGCTCCAGCCATTTCAAAAGAAAAATGTAGATGTGAGCTGTGGCAATTTGCTACACAGGAGTGTTGCAATGATGCAAAAGCAAGCAGCTCAGATAAACAGTACCGAGACCAATGCATTCCTTACCATAACCACCGAGGGATGAGCGGGGTATGCTGGGAGCAGGTCTGAATCCAGCTCCTCCATCCCCTCTGAAAGCCCCTCCACTTCTGTCACTGTCAGCAGCATGGTGGCATGTTTTGCTTTCATTGTCAGCATCTTGCACTTCGAATTCAAAGCAGCAATTTGCTCCTGATATCCTTTGATCTTCTGAGCCAGCTCCTGAGGAAACATTTTTTTTTCCCTAATGCAGAGGCAGCCAATAAAGGCCACAGGACCAGCAGCATTTCAGCTTCCGTGGCGAAGGCAAGCTCTCCCCTCCGAGCCCAGCCAATAACATCATAGTGCTGCCTCTCAGAAACCCCGCATAAGCCGCCGCACTAGCTGACAAGCAGGATGTTGATAGTGGAGGGAACAAGTCAGGCTGCGTCTGGCTGCACAGCTAAACCGCAGAGCCGAGAGCTTTGAAGCGAAACCGGAAAAGTGCTGCGAAAGGCTCTGTGTGCATGATAATTGCCGAAGGCAGAGAGGAGCATCTCACGCTTGCGTCCAGCCTGAACCTGACACGAAGTCTGTAAGCGTCAGACTGCAGCAAAGGGGAACGTCTCTCCCTCTTCCTGTCCTATTCCCCCCTCCCCCCCGTTCTATTTCCATTTATCTGAGGAAGATGAAGCTTCTCCGCATCGTGCATGCCATGGAAGTGAGGTCATGTGGTAACCACAGCTGTAAAAAATGCCCCATTCAGCTCTCGCCAGAAAGAATGAATTGTTCAAACAATAACTCGCAGGGTCTAACAAGATCAAATGTGATATGAACAATCAGTCACATAATAAGATTAAATGCATTGCTTTTTGCCAGTGTTTGGATAAGCTATATTTTAAACTTGTTTTGGTTTTATGTAAGTCTTCAGAATTAAAAGCTGAACTGCACACAGTACTAACCTTTCTTTAAAAAGAGCTGGGGAATCTGGCCTAAAGCAGAGTATGTTTTAAAATACTGGGTTTTATGGCTATGAAATGGTCTACCTGCATGGCCAAACGCCATCATAAGTTTAAGTTTAGTCAGAGAACAAAGATGGAAATGAATAGCCTTAGAAACTAACTTGTCTTGTCTCCTACCCTGTACTGCTGCCCAGTTCAGTGTCCAGTTTCAAAGATTTCAATTAATACACTTAAAATAAAAAACGGGGGAAGATTTTCACATTTCTGGCAAAGCTATTGTTCCTGTCTCCTAGAGGCTCAGTAACATGATAGAATTTTGATCTATGAAGTGAAAACAACATTTTTATAAGCTTGCCTGCTAAATCAGTGGTTTTTCATTCAAATATATATTTCCGCTTTATTTTTATATCTGCTTTTAGTTCTTCAACAAACACAAGTTTTCAAGGAAAAATAGCAACAGAAGTTGCAAGATCTAGTAGGTATAACAATAAATAATTACGATATCTTTTAAAAAGTAAATAAGTTTACTGCTTCGGGCTGGTGAAATTAAGAGATTTTTTTAGTTGTATAACATTATCAGTAAACCATTTCCTCAAAATCACAGTGCAGAACGGTCATAGCAAAAACCACGGAGTTAGAAATGGAAGCAGCACAAAGACTGAGGATGACACTTTACTGCCTGGGTTTCAATGGTACCTGATCACTGTCTGTCATGTTAGCAACAAAAGGAGCTCTCTTTGAGCTCCAAGGCTTACCTTGGAGACTAAGCAAAGTCTTGAGTATAAAACAGCAACTAGATCAATCCAAAACCAAACTGCAATCAAATCAAGCCATAACTTTAATATCTAGCAGCTGGAATAGTTCTCGTCTCTGTTTGGCAAATACCAGTCATTCACTAACGCTCCATGAATGACATCTCTGCAACTCAGTGGTAAATTATCGACATTCAATATACTCACTTAACTCCATCAATATTACTGAGATGCAATAACATTTGTGGCATTAATATCCAATGCACTGAGTATCTAACATACCTCTCTCAACTGAAAACAAAGAAAAGGAAAAGAAGGCAAAAACGTGATTGTGAAAAAAAATAAAGCAACTTATAAAAGCATGTCCTATGAGGTACTGTATTATCCATTAAAATAATTCACAAGTATGGAGATACTTGCCCACATTCTGATCTGAAAGTCTAAAGAAACATGGTTCAGTAAACATAGTTTCAGGGTGTAACTAGTTACATACATGCACAGTAATACAAGCTTCCTACAAATCAGGGTGTAGTTTCCTTCTACTTTTTTCTTCCTCTTATTTTAATTCTAAATATAGCTACTACAAATGTCCCTTTAAATTCTTGTTCATGCAGGCTTCAACAGGGAATCTGGTAACTAGTGTTTTCTTAAATTAATAACACACGTAACAAGCATCTTGATAGACTTGCCTTTTGAAGTAGCATAATAACATAGGGTTCAATATATGCTATGCTACGCTTTTCCACAGGTATTTAGCAGACAAAATATAAGCCCAAAAGACGCATATCTCAGCCTTTCAAAACTCCTTATCCCTAAACATGGAGAGCTTGCAAGTATGAAACCTGTCCACTCTGGTTGATCCCAACATGTGCAACAGAGTAAAGCTGCTGTCTCCCTGCAGACATTTAGAAGGACTGCTAGCTACTGAACTTGTTCAAATACAGATGAAACTTCAAGCTGCCCCATTTTTAATCCCTTCCTCCCTGCAGCATCATTCCTTCCTCCAGAAATATTACCCTGTATTGCTGAAGTCACTCTCCTGCATTTGCTGTTCTAGAACATTTGAATAGAGAACAGTAGCATTTTCAATTCATTACTAAAAAAACCAGAAGTGTTTGTTTAAACAAACTGCTCTGCATTTATACTAAGAAACTTTTGTAACAGCTGGATAGAAAATGAGCAACACATATAACATTAGGTTATATTACATAACAGCACAGATAGCTTTTAATTCAAAGGTAAAGAAATGGTGCCATCTGGTGCCAAAAGTGACACACAGAGTTCAATGGTGCATTGTCTATCCCAAGAAATACACAACAGACAGGGGAGGAGGAAAGGGGCTCAGGAGCTCCCATGCCAGCACAGCGAGAAGGCTGCACAGAGACTATCCCAACTCATTCGAGGGCTGAAGATCAACGAGTTTGAGGGCAGGACCTGTAACTCCACAGGACAAAACTCTTCCCAACAATGACTTTAAAAGAAGCCTTTGGAGTGAAGGTTGCAGAGTTTTTTTCCAAATCTACTGTGGTTTTCATGTGATTCAAGTCCCTTGGTGTTCTTTTACAGAACGTTACTGGGATGGAAATTAGTAAGTACTTTAGGAGAGAGATAGATATATATATATGTATGTATATATAAAAGGATCACTGAACTAGCAGTGATCACCTGACTAACTGCTCAACATTGACTTCTGGGACACTCCTCAGTCAAGTACCTATGTAAACTGTCCCTTAATTTGCAATGCTTTCGTTTGTCATAATGTTGCCTGGAGATTAGGACACATCTAACTGAATATACAAATTAATACTCCACACTGTACCAATAGCATGAGTTTTCTATCTGGTATTAAGTCTATCTGCTTAGCCTTGAGCAAGTCTGAAAAGCTACTCAACTAATTTATGACCATTGCTTATGAAAAGTTTTTTGGGTCAATGAGCTGCCATCGAGCCCATGTTGTTGCACTTTGGCTCTCCCACCTCATGACGTGAAATCTGGACCTGGAGTTCCTGGATGTTGCTGGTTGCTATTGGCTTGTCTTGGATCTCACGATGGGTGCTCTCTATCATTTGCTGTAAATGTTTCATTTCTTGCTCATATTGCTCATACTGAACCACTGCTTCCTAGAGAGGGAAAAAAAAAATATTGTCTACATGAAAATAAATATTTACTTAGTCCAAGCATGACTGATCTCCCTTCTGAAGTGGAGCAAACTTACATCTATCTGGCACTCGCATCTGGATAAGCAAAGCAGGAATATAGTCAGGAAAAAGTCCGTTCAGAAACATTGTGAACTGCAATGATTTCAATGGTTTCATTTATTTAACTATTTCCAAAACAACAGTTCACATAACATGATGTTTTAGAGATCCAATATAAGGAGCTAGAACTTCTGCTTTCAACAAGTATCTGCACCGAACATACCCACCAAAAGATAGCACTGCTTAGTCTCATGGTTTTACTATAAAGCATTTTCATCTGCTTTTTCACTTCAAGCTCCATTTATGAAGTGGAAAGACTATATGAAAAAGTTAGATTTTACAGAAAATACAACTGGAAGAGGATTATGAAGATTGATTCAGACTATTATCCTGCCAGTGTGGTATCAGTTCTTTCTATCATAAATTCACCAGCAGTTTGTCTAACCTGTTTTTAAAACTTTTCAGTGTGACATTGTATCCTTCCTTAAGTATCATGAAGTATCCTTAATGATCAAAAGTCTCTTCTGTTATCTAACTTGAAGCTCTGTAGTTGTACCCTAGCTCGGTATGTATTTCTCTATCACTATGTAGCAGGAAAGAAAAGCTTATTCTCTTCTTCTTTGGAAATACCTTTTACGTGTTTAGGTATGAATTCAAACAACCAAGCAAACCCTAGTTTTCTTGTATTTAGCAAAACTTGAAAATGCAAATTTAATAGATGCTGAATGACTCCAAAATCAGAAAGCAAATATATATAAATTTTAAATAAAGAGAAAAAACCCATTATTTTTATCCTAGAAAGTTAGTTAGTCCTAAGAGCATTACAAAAAACATAGTAAGATCAAGGAGAGAACCAAGATGAGAGTCTGATGAGTAAATCACCAATTAACATGATCATGAATGTTAAAACCCCCAGAAACATGGAGTCAGAAATGACTGAAACTTAGTGGGGAACTTCCTAATGGTACTACACGGAAAAGAAGAATGCTCAGAGATATGAAATTCTCTGTTTTCATCACAATGTGTATGGCACTGTTCAGTTTACTCAGAGTAATTTATGGGATGGAGTTGCACTTGCCTGCATGATGTTGCACTGCTGAATGGCAGTGTGCTGCAGGCGGCTGGCCTCCTCCTGGAGCCGGAGGGCACTGTGGCACATTGGCAGGCCGGTGACCACCTCTTCAGGAATCCTCAGGGCACTCTGGCAGACTTGTACTGCGTGAACCTTTGGCTTCAGTGACTCCATTTCAGACAACAGATGCTAGAAATAAAGTCAGAGCCACAGTAAGCCAGTTTTGCAGAACTCCCAGAGCATTTGATGCAGCAAAAGAAAAACAATTATAAGTTGAAGCACTAAAACAAATAACAAATTTGATTATCTCTTTTTCTAAATTGAATATAATCAGGACACGCTTTGTCTGGAGTTGCTCATTCTGAAATGGGCATTCTTTTAAGTATTAGTTAAACAAAAAGCCCATATAATAGGAATAGAAATAATTCAATAAAAAGCATAGTAGTACCTATTTCTAAGTGTCTAAGTACAAAAATATTTCTGTTAACATATTTGAAAAAAAATTCTTCATAAAATCCACAAATCAAAGCAGCATAGGAGTCATTTATGTATACACATATTTTAACGTTAAAATCTGAGTGGAACTCCCTGCTGAGACACAGAAGTACATTTTCAAACTGGCAAATGAACCCCATTGTGTTCACAGCCTTCCTCTAAAACTACAAATCATGGCTGAAAATGTTGCTTAAAATTCAAAAGGCAATCAAACAGAAAAAACCACAGCTACACAAAAATCTTTTCCTTTGAATAATCACACGCTGGATGCCTTTGTTAATAGTGTCTATTCCGTTCACAATGTCCATTTAAGCTGTCTGTTCATATGCATGAGAAGGGTCTAAGACAATAGATTTGATCAGCATTCTTTTCATCTTCAATGGGAATTTAATGTATTCACAGATAGAAAAAGAAAAACAATTAAAAAAAAGAAAAAGGCAAGGTTGATGAAAAGGGCCTTAGCACTTTAGAAAAAGATGTTAAGTTCAATAGATAAAAATATGTTTGCCAATGTATGTGGCAAACAGGGACAGAGAGACTGATGTCTCCTTTCTCCTATACCATATGCAGAAAGATAGCTACGTGGGTCTGAAGTGCATACTGATGAGAGAATTGTGGTTTGCTCTTTATTTCTGTGCCTTCATGACATATGGTGGATAATCTAACCAGAGATTTGGTACAATGACCTATTCCTCAGACATCACTGGCAAGGCTTCTCCTCTAGCAGGCCCCATACTGCCGGCAAAGGGTGCCTTTATTGTGCAACTGGCACCCAGAGGTATGGGGCCTGCATGCCAGCCAGGCACTCTCCGAGACCCCCTCCTCTGGTCTGGTGAAACAGGTGGGCAGGAGCTACAGCCCCTTTCTGTACAAAAGAAAGTCATACTGTGAGACCTGCTAGAGCCAGGACAAAGAATACATATAAACCACAGTGTAAGCTCCATATTCCTTTACTCTTACGGTGGCTGATGTGTTTCACTTACACTCTTCAATGCCATATTCTGAGATGTGGCTGCAAGTCCCTAGAATAAAGACTGCAAATTTTAATCAATAGAGAAAGCTCTACAAATTTACCTTTCATCCATATGTTTTTCTGCAGATTTTAATCCTAAAGCGGACCTGTTGACATTTAGTTTTCACTGGCAGACTAGGACAGTTAAATCTCTACATTAGCTTGCAGCAAGAAACATTTCTTAAGCAACTCAGAAAGCTATAACTTGAATTATTTTTCTTGTCATGAGACTGAAACCAAAAATAACAAATTGACAAATCTCTATAGTAGGCCAAGTGCAATACAGAAAGCAGCAGTATCTTATGGAGGTAATTCAACTAAACATACAAAAAAGTAACTGGGCTTAAGGAAAACTGAATTTTCTCTTAGCTTTCCAATTGACTACTGGGGGAGCTAGCAACACACTGTCTCATTGCATCTCTATCTGTAAAATGGTGATAATAATCCAGACTTCCTTTTGAAGTACCTTAAGAACCTGTTAATGAAAAGCACTGGATAAGAACCGCGCTTTATTATTATTATTAATATGGATTGAACTTGGACTGGATGCACATTTCGCAGGACTGCATCAACCTAAGAACAGACTCATGAACGATTACCTTCAACAATTCCCTTTAAGGGAATGATTTTTTCTGTTCCATCCCTTATTCCCTTGGCAGTAATTTGGGGCTAGACTCTGAAACAATGACCCGCCTAAGAAACACCACAATCGGTCTCACCAACATTCATTATTCTTTGTGTAAGATCACACTACCCAAGTGCTAACTTTGAGGTCCTGGCTTTTTACCTGTCTGTGAGAAAGTTGCTCTTTCAAGCTCAAATGCCCGAGCTCTGGAGAGGTCAGCGTGGCTTGGGCTTGCTCCAGAGCAGCCTGTAGGGCTCTCAGCTCAACTTCAAATTTCTTCATGTCCTGTAACACAACAGATTTGATTCAGGGATGAATACAAAAAAAAAAAAAAGAAAATACGAAATAAGAAAAAAATCACTATAAATATATCTGTCTGGATTTATAGCTACGTCCCTTATACACAGTGCCAAAATTAAGTCATAGTTTTAACAATGAATTTTAAATGTTTAAAATATTGGATAAAAATATCTTCAAATGACAGTCTAGAAAAAGAAGTTTCAAAGCCAGAGTTATTATTTTAAGTACTTCCTCAATCTCAAATACAGCATGTACTTTATAAAGCTAATTTCATAAAGTTCGAGGCCTAGAAAGGAACTCAAGATGTCTTCTAGTCATCTTCCTGTAATAAGACAGGACATAACTGTCTTATCTTTACAGAGTGTTCTACCACTAGCAGTGGAGTCCCACTTCTCTCTACAGACAACATATTCCACTGTTTCAGTACTCTTTTTTGTAGAAAGTTTTTTCTGATGGTCTGACATGAAGTTACCTTTTGTTGCAATTTCAAACCTCTGCTTACTATCCCAATAAAAACAGACATGAAGAACAAATTATTTTATTCTCTCTGAATACATCATATGTCAGGGTAATCCTTTTTCATGCATCTTTTCTACAAATTTATACACATATCACAATCATCACTATCCTCTGTTCTTTCTCAAGTTGGTCCACATCTTTCTTCAAGTGCAAGACTGGACACAGCTGAAACTTTGCTAGTGACCAATAGGTAGAACAAAAGGACTACGTCACATATCTTACAATTACATACTTTATTTTCTGCATGGTGTTTGGATTTTTTACAGTGATGTGACATTGTTCACTCATTTTTCCATGATCAGCATTATTAAACTTAAGACCTTTCAACAGGGTGCCTCAAGCCAGTAGTTCCCAATTCAGATACACACATGCCCGGTTCTTCCTGTCTAAATGTAACAACTTACCCCTGTCCTTGTTGAATAGCAGCCTAATTTTTTTCATGTAGTCCTTGTACATTTGGTGTTGTCTAAGCATCCAAAAGCCATGATCTCTAAACCACCATCCAACTCATTAATGAAAATATTGAATAGTACCAGATCCAACGGAGAACACTGCAAAACCTTACTTGATGTATCCCTGCTTTTGGGCTATGAACCATTGATAATTACACACAGGTAAGTTTTCTAGCCAGATTTACACCTACCGATTGTATTTTCAACTAGATAAGCTGTCCTGGTTTCGGCTGGGATAGAGTTAATTTTCTTCCTATTAACTGCTATACTGCTGTGTTTTGTATTAGTATGAGAATGATGTTGATAACATACTGATGTTTTAGTTGTTGCTAAGTAGTGTTTATGCTAGTCAAAGACTTTTCAGCTTCCCATGCTCAGCCAGGTGCACAAGAAGCTGGGAGGAAGCATAGCCAGGACAGCTGACCCAGCTGGCCAACAGGGTATTCCATACCACATGATGTCATGCTCAGCATATAAAGCTGGGGGAAGAAGAAGGAAGTGGGGGGACACTTGGAGTGATGGCGTTTGTTTTCCCAAGTCACCGTTATGCGTGATGGAGCCCTGCTTTCCTGGAGGTGGCTGAACACCTGCCTGCCGGTGGGAAGTAGTGAATGAATTCCTTGCTTTGCTTTGCTTGTGTGTGTGGCTTTTGCTTTACCTATTAAACTGTCTTCATCTCAACCCAGGAGTTTTCTCACTTTTACCTCCTGATTCTCTCCCCCATCCCACCGGGGGGGAATGAGCGAGTGTCTATGTGGTGCTTAGTTGCTGGCTGAGGTTAAACCATGACATAAGCTTATTAACTTTGTTAATAACAATATCATGTGAAACATTATTAAAGTCAAGATATATGATATGTTGTACATTTATCTACAAAGCCTATTACTTTCACATTAAATTGGACACTTTTGATATGATTTTCTTTCTTCATAAATCTATGTTGGCTTCTCTTCATCTCCAAGTTTTCTAATAAGAATTTACAAATAGTTTAATCAATTGCTCTAATATTTCTCTGAGAACTGAAGCTAGTAAGTTTCACTTCCACTATGCTTACTTGTATGCAAATCTCTGGTTTGCTCCATGAAAAATTAAAAAAAAAAAAAAAAAAAAAAAAGCCTTCAGGTCATAAACTGTGGTTTACTGATTTGTGCTTTTGTAATGGAAAAAAGTTTTCTTCAAAACCTTTCTGTTACACTGTTATGGCTGCTGCAGCTGCAGAATTTCTGCTATGTCCCTTAAATGTTGTGAAATAAGAGTCAAATGTGGAGAAGGACCATTTTTAACCTTAGCTGCAATTGTCCTAACAACTGGTGATAGCATATTCTCTTAGTTGCCTGTAGGTATTTCCCTATTTAGTAGTGTGTAACTGTAGCAGGTGACAGCAGAATAACCCCTATAAATATAGTAATTATACCATTCCAATATTCATTTTTTTCCTGAATTATTGTCTCAACTTAGGGGGAAAAAAAAAAAGAAAAAAAAAGGTAAAATTTCTTGCCCTGAAGGTAAGAGCAAGTAGAAAAGACTTCTGTGCTTTTCCCTGTGTCTTGCACCAGTTTACCATGCCCTCAGGCATTGCATAGGCATAACGCAAATTTACATTAACAATAAACCCGTATGGAAGAGCTGCACAGAAATGTCAGGGACATGGAAAAGCATGTTCACTCTTTTCATTGCATTTTCAATTACCCCATTGAAGGGGTAGGTTTTACATTAAGGAATCCTGGTCTGGTCCAGTACTGATCTGAATTAATAGATAGTAGGCTTCAGATAACTTCTAAGAGAAAAATAAAGGAAATGGCACAGCATAAGTGCCAACACAGACACTTTTCAAGTATCTAAACATAGGTGGTCAGTGCCATTTAAGATGTATGCCAATACATCCATTCAGAATGGGCAGATATGACAGGACCTGCAGGAATCTTGTCCCCATCTGGAACAGCAGTTGAAGGCAGTATCTCAAATGGTGCAAGACATCTAACTTTAGACAACACAATCATGCCGCTCATAGAGCACAGATAATCTGCACTGCTAATAGGCTCAGAAACATGATGCACACACAACCCTAGCTGTCAGCTAGCAAGAGAAAAACTGCTTTCGTATACCTTAGCAGCATCTTGGAGATTTGGTAGCCGCACTTTGATAACTTGCTGTAACTCCTCTGTCCGCCGCCCCAGTTCCAGCACTTGCTGCGACATTCCTTCAGTACAGTATACACTTGTCAGATACTCAATCCTCTCATTCATGGCCTCAAGATCACCATGAATCTCTCCGGACTCATCAAGCATAGTCTAGATGGAGATATGAACAAACTGAATGCCAGAGTTGAACTTCAGATTAAACACAACTTTAAGTATATTCCTGTTCTGCAAACTCCTGAATTTGTACACATTTATAAGCATATGATTAAGTTCTACTGTTTTCCTGTAAGGCTTAGGCAATATGCTTAATTCTAAGTGTATGCTGAAGTGTGTCAGCTTATGGAGACTGGGAAACAAAAGAGTAAGTCATGAAGCTTCAGTAGCTGTACTTACCAACACATTCATTTCAGTGTTTTGCTATACATACTTGCCTGTAAAAATATAATATACACAATCTGTGGATAGGGTTTGTTCTGGAAGCCTGATGTACCTAATAAGAAGCAGCAGAAAGCATTTGGGTGCAATGTTATAGCAGGGCAGCAGTCATTAATGCTGTCTAAAAAATGGCTATCAAAGTGTTCTGTGGGATGGCATGGGTTAAGTCTGTATCTTCATCAACTTTTGAAGCAGGGAAAAAGCCATAGCAAAAACAAACGAGAAATGGTATCGCCCAGATATACTCAGGATAAATTGCCTGGAGGTTCCTATTCAGAATAAGAAAGTGTGACATACTACTTTGCCCCAATGTAAGTGAACGCAGCTGACAATTAACTAGTGCATATATAAAAAAAATAATTAATGCAGTCTTATTTTGGCATTAGTGAGATGTGACCATCTTACGATGCTTTGATTTGTTTCACGTAATCATGTAACACTGGGCAAGCTTGAACCTTATCAAACTGCTCCACTGATCCCACACTTACACATTCCACACTTACATATTCCACACACAGAACAAAAAACACTGTCACAAGAACACCAAATCACTTTGACGTGAGATGTTCAGGAAGCAACTGGAAGAAACTCTCATCCAAACTGAGAACATTTGGTTTGAAACTCACCAGATGAGAACAAAGGCTATTCCAATTTAGTGTAAAGGAGAAAGAAAAAAATAAACCCAAACTGAAAATCGTGTTTGGTTAACTAAAATTTTAGAGGAATATTGGCTGCAATGAGGTACACAGTGTGATAGTATCACAGTGTATAGACACACTGTTCAATCAAAAGCTGCTATGAAGCCAATGTACTTGAGTAAACACGGAGATCAACATTGAATCACGTAGTTTTATTCAACAACTTATCTTAATTTCAGTCTTAAAAACAATAGTCCAAAACAATTAATCATCTTTAGGACTTGGGGGAACAGTCAAAGAAACCTAGCATTTTAAGACTTTTTTTCCTCGAGGAAAGGAGGCAAAAAATGTGTAGGAAATAACACTTCACTGCTTAGAAAATAACTTCTTTTATACACTGCCCTTTCAATTTCATAGCTCATATAATCACCTGGTAGGCTTTAAACTGATCACGAAGCTGAGAGGAAGAATTCCATGTTATACTACCGTGCACTAGGATATTTGCTTTCTCAATCCATTTCAGTACAAACTCCAGCATCTCATTGTATTCTTCCAAGTGTGAAGAAGCCTGGATATAAAAGCAAAATCCACTTAAGCCTAAGATGTAATTCTGTACAGTTCTTAGAGAATGATAAAATTAATTTTATTTCATTTACTGTTTTTAACTAGGGGATCATTTTAACAACTTTTCCTTACTGTTGAATATAATTTAATTACTTCTGTATTTATGGATTTAAAATAGGTCTGCTTCCAGTAACAAGCATATCTGTATCAGGAAAAAAAAATTAAAAGGCACTATAAGAATGTAGGAGAGTGCACTGATGCTCAAATATATCCCTAGGGGGTACACTTCCTGCACTTATTTCATCCTCACATGTAAGTTCCAAAATACTTTCTTGCTCGCTTTGTGGCTCACTGCAAACCTCCTTTATGTCATTCCTTATTTTTCTTTGTCTCTTTGTATGTCATCCCTCAAATCACCTTCTTTTTAAAACCTGCTTTGTCCACTCAGCCTGTCATATTTCCAAAAAGAAAAACGTTGCACTTATTTCAAAATACAGGACAAAACCTCTGCTTTCTGATTCATCCAATTTCTATTTAGCAAAGTACTCTTTAGTTCCAATTTTCTTCTCACTTAGCAGGAATAATTTCACAGATTTTCATGCATTTGTCCTGTATGAAGGATGGATCAAATCCTATGCGACTGAACTGTATTTGCATGCAGTTTGCCCTACCTATCATTTTTTATGATAGGAAGTGGATTTCTTGGTGCTGAACAAAAATATCCTAATGGCTAAATCCCTTCAGCAAGTACCTTTGACTGAACTCTTACTTTGACAGTAATTTTCTATCCATTTAAAAACAAATTTTCAGAGGAAACTGAAAAGAATATAATGAAATAGTTATCTTTTTCAAGACTTACAGAAGCTTCTTTATGCATGAAGAAACGAGAACTCATAATTTATGAGGGTATTGATGGCAGAACTATAGAAAATCCATTTCTTTGTTTTTAGCTAGACTTTTTTGGGATAACAACAATTAGCAAAAAAATACGTAAGAAAGAGTTTCAGGTTCTTTGAACTGCAGGGGAAGCATCTTTATGAATGCTGAAATGTTGCATAAACATTATGCATTATTAGGGCCATTGTATCTAGGCTTTTCTATTGAATCTACAAATTATATTCACCCTCTATAGATTGCTCTATACAGCAAAACAATTTTTTTTTTTTTTTTTTTAATGCTGCAAATATAGGCAAGAGTAATAAGACAGAGGCCCTGAAAAGTACAATGAGATAGTATTTATTGACATACTACTGTTTGTGGGAAGGTCTATAATCTTTTCAGGGCACCAGAGGAACCAACCAGCAGATGATTCATGGACGAGGATGTTAAAGCAGCATCACAGAATTATCCCACCCTCCTGATCTGATCCGTCTGTGCCTTTCTTTGAGGTGCGATGCAAGCCCTGACTAATAATAGGCAGATGTGCCAAGGTATGTCCCTTCTTGCATAAGTACAGAAAAATAAATGAGAGGTTTGTATGCTCCTTCTGCTTCCGAAAGGAAACAGCAGAAAGGATTTGAGATCATACCTGACTGAGCTTGGCTGCTCTGTGCTCAGCCTGCTGTATGGTCTGTTGGTGCAATGCAGTAAGTTTCCCTATTCTGTTAGCCAGCTGCTTAGCCAGCAGTACGTTCTGCTCTGCAAAGTCCTGGACTGATGCATCTAATTCCAACAACTTTATATTGCAGCTGTCCAACTCTTCACCGAGGATCTAGACAGAAAAACAAGAAAATCAGTGATCCAGGAAGTGTTAGCTTTCTAGTTGATTATTTCTAGTCCAACTTGCAACTTTTATACCCTGTCCAAAGTCTCCATAGTTTGTTCCATTTTTACTCTGGCTGGAAACCAACAATGTTTGTCTAAGCAGGAAGGCAGAACAGCAGGATGTTTGGTCATCTCTTAAATGTCATTTATGTGCCATTACTCTTTCTTCTCTGACTTCCTGGCTGAAATGGATAATAATTTTCCCTACCACAGCAAAAGACTGAGTCACTACAGAGTGACATTAACTGTTCTTGGCTATCTTTCTGTGTTTGTTTTTGAAATTAATAGCTGGCACACATTGCCATGACAAGGATTTTTATTTATTGGAAAGGGGTTTTGTTTTGTTGCTGTTTTAAAATACACCCTTACAAACTCAGAAATATGTAATTATGCATTAATGTATTACAAAAACTTTCATTTTCATTTGAAACTTGCATTTTTATAGCTTGATCTTGACACAGGAGCAGTCTGAATCATGCTAGACTGTTTCAATAGAAACAGATTTTAAAATCAATTTTTCTTACCATAGTTAAAAAGTTTCTGAAAAGTTTAAAAAGGAAACCTAAAAGTTTTTTATGTTTCTCATAGATTGATAACACACTTATGGGCTACAGTTTTGTGGGAAGGGGTACTGGGTTTTTTTTGTATTTTGTTTTTATACCTAAGGTGTTAACGATTCATTGTTCTTGTAATACCAAGAAAGTAAGTCTCATCAAACACTCTAGCCCCTTTACAATTATTTTTAGAAATATATATTGCAATCATCAGACAAAAATTGATTCAGAACACTGCTCTAGCTACAAGTCCTTCAAGAAGGTACTTCAAGCTCTTCAGGTTAGGGCTGTCCTGGCAGATCAACTGTTATGATAAACGAATATTATTTCATGATCAGTAGCATAACTTAGTGACATTAACTGTCTACATGTAGACATAAAGACAGATGTTGAACTATTCATCTAAATAAAACAACAACACACATATTTCAGGCAGGCATAAATAAACGTCTCTACTATAGAAATGATGCAGAATTTATATGGTCTTTAAAAGTGAGGGAAGAATCCATTTGACTCGGGTCGCATGGATTTAAAACAGATTTTTATTTTATTTTTCACAGACAGTTTCAATGTTAATTTAAAAATATTTACTGCTGTAATCAAAGCCAACCCAATCTCAGGAGTATCAGCTGAGTGCTGACATAAATGCAGTTGAGGGAACTTTACTAAATCTCCAGTGACAGAGAGTTTTCGTCTATGTAACATGGGAAAGCACATTTCACTGGCTTTCTGCTTAATTACTGGCATCAAGGAGATACACCAATTTTAAAGGGATATATTTCAGTGACACCTCCTGCAAAGCAAATGGTACTTTGGAGCATATTGAGAGCAACTCATGAAAATGAACAGGTAATTTTTTTACATACCAGACATGCCAAATCTTCTCCTATTTGGTATGCTTTGCTTACTTTCAGACAGTAACTTGGTCACCTTTATCTTTGACTAGTTAAAAAACCAAACCAAACAAAAAAAAACCCCCACTCTCAACCAACTCATCCCCCATGTATCCCCCCGCAAAAAAACCCCTACTCTCTTATGATAATCCTAACTTGGCCATTATACCTCAGTACAGATGAGCTTTTCTGAGTGTGGTACATACCTAAGATTAAGAAATCCTACAAAAAGAACCAAGAGTCCTTTGCATTACCCTTAACCGCACCAGCGGAACTTTACCTCATTATTGCACCAAATGATAAGAGATGGACTACTGGCTAAGTAAAATTCTATTTATTGCAAGTAAAGGTGTACTGTAAAGAATGGTCTTTTCAGTACAGACTGGCAAAAGGAGCAGTTTGGGAGCCTCTTAGGCTTTCCCAGATTGCAGTCACACTCATTATTTAGATGGAACAGCATAACTTTGTCCATCTGACTTGCTTTTACTCTCAGCTACTTCCTCCAAGTTCTGTTACTCACTCAAGTCTCTGTATGCGCTAGTTTGCAAAGAATATAATTAAAATTCTCATCCGTCAATCCTTATTTCTGTCCATTCTTCTGTTGAACTACATTAAAAAATATGCCATGCAAGTTTTCACAAATACAACTTTGGTATGAAGTGAATTCAGAAGAATTTATGGTGTAACCAAATAAGGGAAGCCTTGTCTTACCTTTTGTTCAAGTTTAGCTTGTGCTATATCATTTGTTTTCTTTTTCAGTTTGGAAAGAATGGCATTTAGTTCATTTGCTATCCCCTGGATTTTCTGACCAAACTCTTGATTCAATGTTTTGATCTGCTGAGTTTCTCTTTCTTTGGTTTGAATCTGTCAACAATAAGAATTAAACTCAGTAACCAGAAATCTCTCTTCCTGAAAGGAAATTAACTTTCGTTTAACTAATTTAAAGGAAGGTAATCAAACTACTCTACATTGTCATAGTTTGACCACAATTGGATACTGTATTTCACTAAGTTATGAAGTCTAAAGAAGGGCTCTAGATCTGTAATGCATTTATCTACTATGCTTTACCTGATCTTGTACAGTTACAAGGGCCAGCCCAACTTCTGCTAAATGAAGAGAGAGTTCAGAAGGCAAAATGGTATAAAGCCCCAAGTACTTATTCTGTTGTTGTTCAGCCATTTTTTCAACAGCCTGGCGATGAGTAGTTACTTCACCAAAGAGAGACTAATGACAGAAAAAGAGTATTGTTAAGAACAACGGGAAAAACATATCTGTGTAAACTTAGCAAATGCAGACATTACATGCAGCTTGCAACCAAGTTAATTGCTTTTAAATTTTTAATTAGTTCATTAAAAAGAACTGTATCTTGGGATTCCCTGGATTCTCATTTATGACTATCTGTCCAGTTCTCTGTTCCTGTGTGACCACATGTATATAGCAAATGTCAAGTTTTCAGCACCTCCAGTGAAATGAGTTTATTTTATTTTGTTACTTTCCTCCCCACCCCAAACTGCCGAGATAGAAAAGAAATGTCATATTCTGTCCATTCACATTCTACAGTTCCCCTGTATTTTAGATGAGAGGAGAAAAATTACTAAACAATATGCTAGTATGTAAAATTGCATAAATGCAAATATTAAATATATCTTAAATATCTTTAAAATAAGATATTACAGCCCATCAGCTACTTCATGCTTTATGAATTTGTCTAGTGGCTTACTCAAAAAGTAATGAATATTGTCTAATTTGAATTTATGGTGTTTTTGAATGGATTAACACTCACTAGCAGATTACAACGAAGATAAATATTGTAATTTAGAAATTGACAAATTTGATATACCTGCAACTCCTGAAGTTGAGTATCCATTTCTACATCAGGGCTCAATAAATATTCTTTTGTTTCCTGGATCCAGGACTTCACAATATTAATCTCTGCTTCAACCTCCTCACGCTCCTTCAGCTCCTGTTTCACCGTCTTCACACCTTTTTTCACTTTCTGTTGCATACTTCAGAAACAAAGAAATAACTATTTATGAAGAATTAAGCAATGTCTAAACACATTGCTTTGTCAGAAATATTGAATAATAAAGATAACGATTGATAGCCCAACATCCACTAATAAAAAGAGGGGCAGTGTTGCAACAGACTACTAAAGCAGCATAATTAAATTTCTCATGTTCATTCTTCAGTTCACTCCTTCTAATTAGCCGTTTTATGTACTTTGACATCGAGTGCACAATTCTTTTGAAGAAATGCAAATATTTACAATACAGACACCTACATCTGAGCTCATCACCACAGACTGCCCTTATTGTCAATGGAGGAAGCAGGCAATTCTAGGGCATGATTTAGGATGATTCATCATAATTCTAAAAGAAACTTCTAGAATAGGTCAGAAAATCTGCATCTTAGACCTGTCTATTTCTCTCCACTAATTAGAGAGCAAGAATTAACCAGTTCAGATGCGGTTATCTATAATCTAAAATAACACGGGATAAATTCCACCCCTATTGATGGGATTTGCATTGGCAGAATACCTAGGATAAGGCATGGATCAAACATCTGAACACCATTTTTGACCCAGTGACCTATCTCCACGCTTCCACTAAGACAGAATTTTTGCACTTTCCTCAAGAACTAGGATTTCCTGTAAAAATAGAATCTTTTTCAGATGACAGCTCTGTGAAAAATCTACAGGACTACTTGTAGCTCTTACGTATGTGACATGGATCTTACTTTGATATTCCCATATTTGATTTATGTTTGTATAACCTTGCATAGCTGAATCATGCCTTATTTACATGAGCATGAGATCATCACAGACCCTGTTTCTTAGAAACCAATTCTAAGGGAAGAATGGCATTACAAAAGTGCTAATATCCACATATTTTCTACAGGGATTGCTATTCTACTGTAATTAGTTATGCATGCACACAATGAACTTTGCACAGGCTAGGTGGAGGGTTTACAGATTTTTCATTCTGTGTCTCTCTCCCTATTGTGGAGATCCAGTTAATAGCATCTTAGTGCAGTTATGAGGTGGGTATGAAACTTAGTCATAAAACTTCCTGTTTTATACATGACAGGGTGTCCTGGTTTCGGCTGGGATAGTGTTAAATTTCTTCCTAGTGCTGTGTTTTGGATTTAGTATGAGAAGAATGTTGATAACACACTGATGTTCTCAGTTGTTGCTAAGTACCCTGCTAGTCAAGGACATTCAGCTTAAAACAAAACAAACAGGTGCTGGGGGGGGGAGCAAAGCTGGGACAGCCGGCCCAGCTGGCCAATGGGGTATTCCGTACCATGTGACGTCATGCTCAGTATATGAATGGTAGGCGTGTTCCAGGAAGTAGTGATCACTATTTCATTATCGGTCAGCGCGGGTCAATCACAATTGCATTGTGCATCACTCATTTTTGTATATTCTATCATTATCATTATTATTATTATTATTATTTTCCCTTTTCTGTTCTATTAAACTGTCTTTATCTCAACCCACAAGTTTTTCTCACTCTTACCCTTCCGATTCTCTCCGCGTCCCACTGGGGGGTCGGGAGTGAGTGAGCGGCTGTGTGGTATTTGGCTGCCTGTCAGGTTAAACCATGACACAGGGAAACATTTTAGATTTAGATAAACATTCTATATAACCACAGGGTGAAATGTTAAGATATGTTTTGTTTGCACATGCACTAAATCCCCCTGTAAATTTCAGAGGATACCTACTTTTGGTACCTAAGTGGTTCCAACAGGGAAAACAAAACAATAAACTAATCTAAAATTAGGATACAAAAAGGTAAAAGGTCATTGTTAATGGCGAGATGCAATGGAAGGGTTTAAAATCAGTTATAACTTTAATGTAGTTTATACGACTCTTACGTAAGTTACTATTATAATGCAAGGCAAGAAGTACATATTCTAAAAAAGCATACTCCTGCTGATGCAAATAAAAAAAATAATGGTAAAAACATATTTAAAAATTAATTAAAGATAATTTAAAATTAAACTGATGCTTATTTTAAATATAATAACTAATATTTATTTTAAGCATGGTAATTGTTAATGATAACAAAAATGATACGTGAACTCTCATTAATGAATTGTAAGGTACCATTTTTCTACTGAATCTTTTAAAATATTGCCTTACTTGTGGCATCGATCTTGCATTGCTTTGAGTTCTTGCATGACTGGTAGTTCCTCCTGAGACAGAGGCTTTATTTCCACATCCTGAAGCATGCTGACAGCATGCTGTTTGAGCAGGCCCAAAGATGACAGCTGGTGCTCCACCTCCAAAAGGAAACTACTGTGGTAATCCAGGAGTTCCAGGAGCTCTGTCTTGGATGCCTTTTCCACTGAGCTTTCTGGTAAGCGACCTTGTAACTGATCTATTGCTATGGTGGCTTTTTGAATCTGTGGAAAGAGATCCAGTCTTGGCAATAACGGAATTAAAAAGAAGCTAGTACAACTGATACCAAAAGGTGCTAAACCCAGTGCTGTACATTAAGATGCTGTACAACAGCTGTGGTATAGGGCTTGTGCAGCAGTCTCTATAGCAGATATAAATCTACGCTCTAACGTGCTAGATCCTAGCTCTTCACACTGGACTAGGACATCTAAGGGACTTTTTTGTCAAGTGATGAGTGGCTCCTCATATTTTTTAGCATTTATTATCTTTATTGCCTAGAGCTCTACCCTAGGGCAGACCTGTATTTGGCACAAGTCATATATTTAACAAAAAGATTATCCCCATTCTCAGAGAACCTGCAATGTGAGCATAAAATAATGGACAACAACAGATAAAGAGAGTCATGTAGGATATAAGGAAATAAGAGTCACATGATCGGTGAGCTGTGACAGGCAATAATATCACTGAATAAATTTAGAAATAGTAACTTCATACTCTTCAGGGGAAAACAAAAAAAAAGAAAAAGGCAGGGGAGCAAAAAGGGGAGCAAAAAGGGGAGCAAAAAGGGGAGCAAAAAGGGGAGCAAAAAGGGGAGCAAAAAGGGGAGCAAAAAGGGGGAGGGGGGCGGAAAGGAGGTTGACTTAATTTAGAATAGACCATCTGGGGAAGAGAAACATAGAGGAGAAGGTTCTGAAGAACCAGCAGAAACCAAATCAACTCTGTATTTACTATACATATATGCATATAGAAGAATAGTGCAAGCCTTGGAGGCAGTGGTTCTAAACCTAGGTCTTCCATAGCTGTTTTTTTTCTATGACATGAGAAAAATCACTGTTATTCCTGCTATCAGCTTTCTCTACCATAGGATGATTAATAAGGCAGTATAATGAGTGAAAACCTATGTACAGTTAAAAAAGGAGGATTTACCAAGACCAGAAGTTACCTTATCATTAAAGGCCTTCCATTCCTGCACTGCATCTTCCAAAATTTTCTCTTGTTCTTGGGCAACATTCCGGAGCCGTGTCCAGCGCTGCCAAACTGTTGTCATGGATCTACTTATAGTTGCCTTACTGGCATCATTGCTAACTTTTTCCAGCTGCGAAGCCTTTTCTTCTAGGGCTGTGATCTTCTCATGGAAAGAATTCACTACAGACACAAGAGTCTGAAAAAGCAAAAATAAGCACTGTTTTCCTCTTTTACAACACAACTCATAACTATTCAACACACTTGCAGGCAGATGAGCCACTTCCATCCACTGCAGACAAAGAGGAGTTACCCTATGCTGAGTGAGGTTGTTAGATCTGATTTTATTTTTCATACGCAATATAGTGGCTACAGCTACTTGAAGGACCTGGTCCAAAATGCAACTCTCTGGAAGCAGCAGCAATCTGGTGTAATTAGGTTTTCTCTTCCTTGCTAGCCCCTCAAAAGGGATGGAAATAAGTAATCAGGACCCTCCTCATAGCAAAGAGTGACTTCTGTTAGAGTCTAAAAATGAAAGAAGCAATTCAGGTGTTTAAGCATACTTTTATGTCACATTTATCTCTAACGTCATTTTAGATGTCCAAGGGTATCAGGATATTCTCATGAAGCAGTCAGACATGATGATATTACTCTTAGGGGGGATTCCTGCCTTCACAGAGACACAGCTGGAGACGAGGCAGGATGTCTAAGTGTCACTAACTGCCTATATTAAGGCAAGTGATTAGCACCCTAAATATTAGAAGAGAAAGTAACTCTTTTAAGTTACATTTCTTTCTTTTAGACTAAGCAAGAGTTAATATTAAATCCCAACCCTTCCCGTCCTAGTAAAAATATTTCATGTGATCCAAAGTAGATGGATCCAAAGTTTCTATTGATCTGAATTTCTTGTGGGGTACATAATTTTGGGACTTATGCACCCAAGACTTTTAGGAACCTCCTGATTCCTTCCAGTTCTCTACAGTCATAGGCACATAGACAGACATCAAGCTGAAAAGCAATTAAAAGTATCTGTCCCAGTCACCCCACAAATAAAATGTGTGTTCTGCACAACACAAAACACCTCTTGGTGTGCTATGACACAGTTAAGCACTACAGGAAAAGATCTAAAAACTCAAATTCAGGTTGCCACAGGTAGGGGCCTACATAACATACATTTATTTTCACTGAAGGAAAAGGATTTCATATAATTTTCAGTACCTTACCTTATGTGTTAGCAATTTCTCTTCTGATTCATGAGAAGAAGCAGCTTTAGCTACTGAGAATTCAGATAATTTTTTCTCAGCCTCATTCATCACTTCAATAACCTTCTGTCTTGCTGTCTGGTACTCCTGCCACTCAGAAGCACACCTTAAAAATGTAGTTCCAGAAAGAACAATTTAATGCAATACAAACCCATTTGAAAATCAGGAATATTGTTGCACCTAGTTTTCAATGTAACTGCTTAGTTTTGTTGTTACACAGTATTTTCCAAGAAAAAGAAATATTATTGGGAAAGTATACATAGAAGCACATGCTCCTGATTTTCAGCTGTGCCTTACAGACACAGCTTGGCATTTAATAGCCCTTGATTGACTTTTCCTCAGTGACTTTGTCTAGGTTGTGTTTTAAACCCACCCAAACTTTTGGAATCCAGAACATTCAGTAATAATAAGTAACATAGTTATGCTGGTTAAAAAGGTATTTCCTTTTAGTTCAAAATGTCTGCTTCAATTTCATTTTTTTCTACATAGGTCTTGCGCCAGATGAAATAAGGGACAGTCATTCCCTACTTTTCTTCTCGGTGCTGTTCCAAGATTTATATAATTTTATCATAGCTTCCTCAGGATCACACATCTAGTCAGTCAGTGGCAGAGGAGAAAAGAGAATCCAAGAGCTCTGAATCCCAATATCCACTTCTCTCATCAGTAGCACAAACATTTTACAAAACTCCAATTAATGTTATGATCTCTTTCGTTCACCATCAACAAGATGATCTTAAAATGAAAGAAAAAAAACAGATTAATATACCTTTGCAACTGCTCTTGCTGGGTTTTGGCTTCTTGCTTTGTCCCTTTGGCCTTTTCCTCCAATGCAGCTACATTCTGCATCAGCTGCTCTCTTGCTGTGGCTTGGATAAAGGGCTCTATCTCTGACACAAGGCCCTGCAACTCCTTCAAATGATTACTGAACTGACTTTCTGTGCTGAAAAATTCAATGTGGTTCCTTAGGTTCTCCTCAGAGTTCTCAACATCAAGACCATTTCTTGCTAAATGTAGAAATTCCTGAGCATCTTCAAGCCAGTCATTTGCTATCTGCATCACTTGGTAGTATCTTTGGCAGAGGCTATATAATTTATTCAAGGTAGCCTGAAATAAAAGGGAAAATTATACAGAGAGTCACAGACATAAAATTCACAGCAACCACAAAAATATCCTCTGCTGAGAGTCTGGATTTTGCCCATTCTTGCTTTCTTTTCCCTTTATTATATCTAAAATACAGGTCCAGAGAGACTACATGGAAGTAGGTTTTGAGCGCATTTGCACTTCTACATGCAGGTATAAATGCATATTAATGAAGCCTTTCCCCCCCCCCCCCCCCCCCCCCCCAAGTCATCCATAGCAACAGGCCACAACCTAAGTCATTAAAAACCCCCAAACAACAGGATTATTAAAATCAATCTTTTTATCATGATTACAAACATCAAGCCATATTTTTCAGCTTTGTGAGCGAGAAACTAATGACATTTAGGGTGCACTAACCTGTCTCATGTGTATAGCTTCTTGAACTTCACCATCTAGTTCCGTCAGCTCAGCAAGAGTGTTTTCCAGGTCAGCAGGTATCAGCTCCTTTGCTTTCATATATCTCTCTTTCTCTTTATTGCTCAGTGCATTCATTATTCTCAGGCTTGACTGCACTTCTTCCTGATGTATCTGAACCTTTCGGATTTCTTCTTGGATGCTTTGCAGTTTGAGGTCCAAACATAATGTTCCATTAAGTTCTGCTTTCACCCATCTCAACCAGTCAAGTGACCGGCAGATTTCTGTCTGGAAGTCTATGCTTTGCACGAGTCTGTTCTCGCACTCCATCACGGTGTCACCAATGGCAGCGTGCAAAGACTTTAGTTTCTCTTGCCAAGACTGCACTTGGTGATTTGTTGTCTCACATGCAGATGAATCAAGCTGAGGAGAAAGGGCTTCTAGATGTTCAGTTATTCGCTTCAGAAGACTCCCCGAGTCTTGCAAGCTGCCCACCAGAGAATGGTATATTTTCAACTTTTCTTCTATTGGGAGGGTTTCTTCATTTACCTTAATCTGCTCCTTCTTCACTGCCTCTAGTTGTGCCTCAAACTGCACACACATTTTCTCATGCTCCTGGCATGCTTCTATTGTGTCTTCTAACAGGTTGATTTTCTGTTCTATTTGCCTCTTGAACTTGTGATACAGCGTGACAAGTTTTAGCATCTCATCTGGTTGCCATGGCTGTCCAGTGCTTCGAAAGGCCTCCTTCTTCTGGTTTAGTTCATCCACTGCTGCACCAAGGCTCACCACTTCACCTAAGAGATCTCTGTAGGCCTGCTGGAGTGACACAGCTTCTTTGGCTAAAACAGCAGCTGGAGCTTTGTCCATGTTAATAAACTGATCCTCTAGCTCAGTCAGAGCTTTGCTTGTCAGCTCAATCAAAGAGGCATACTCCTTTCTGGCATAAATTGCTTCCTGAACCTTATATAATTTTTCTTTTGCCAGAGCAGTGACAATGTTGAATTGCTGAGGGAGAATGTTAAGTTTTTCATCCAGATAAGAATGATCTACTTCATTAAGTGATGGTAGGATTTCTTGGCCATCTCTTTGCAGTGCAAGTAACAGATTTTCATACTCTGGAGATTGCTCAAGAATCTGTTGATACTTTGCCAACTGCGTGTACAGTTCAGAGTTACTATTCATTACATTGACTTCTGGGAATGTGACAATATCAGCTTGTTTTAGCCAATGGCAAGCTTTATCCAAGTCTTCTTTGAAATATTTCCTGGAAACTACATTTTTCTCCAGTTCCAACAATCTCTGGTTACACTTTTGTAAAACAGTGTCATACACGTTCTGTAGTTCTTGCAGTTTACCTAACACTTCACTCTTTTCTTGTTCTGTTGCTTCTTTCATTAAATCTCTTCCTTGAGCCCACAACCCCGTGACTTCATTTTGGCAGGCCTTCAGGTTAGCCTGGGCATTCTTACAAGTCCTGATCTGTTTGTTCACATCTTCCGGCAACAGACAAATGTGTTCCGGAAATGTTACCTTCTTCTCATGCTGGTGAATTTGGTTTGTAGCCTGAAAGACTGCCATAAGAAACTGGGTCTTTTCAGACAGTGCTTTATTCAGGTGCTTTCTCCTCTGGCCAACCAGATCGCTGAGACAATCTACATGGTGCTGTGCATCAGAAAGTGCTTTCTGCAGCTCCTGCCTTTCATTGAGCCCTAGGTTGGTCATCACCCTGTCAGCATCCTTCACAAGCGTCTTCAGAACAAGCTGTTTGGCTTCAAGCTCGCTGCAAATGGTAAGATGATCCATGAGAAGACTCTGAGCCAAATCTGGAGGAGGGCTCTGTTTAAGAGCCTCTGAGATACTAGGTTGCTGCTCCTCTGCCCACTCCATTAGTTCCTGAAATTTGGAATGCACCAAACTGAGCTCTTCTAAGGTTGAAACAGAAACTTGAATTTTCCTTTTGACAAGGTCCTCCAGCTGAGTCCAGCGTTGCTCGAAATGACCAAATTGCTCCTTTACTAATTCTTTGTCATCAAGATTCAGATGTTCTATCATCTTCTGTTTCTGATCTTTCAAATCTTCCAGAGCAAATCTCCTTTCCTGTAGTGCCAATGCCAATTTTTGCAAAGCTTCAAGGTGCACGTTTGTACTTTCAGCATCAGATCTGTTATCAAAATGGACAGGACAGAAATTAACTATTAGATCTTATCTCAGGATAGACTTTTAAAAGAGGTCAGAATGAATTATAAGCCTACTATATACTGAAATCAATGTGATATAAATACTTACAGTTTTCACATTCTTTTGAAGTTACCAGTCTTGAATATTAATTAAAAGGTTTTTTTATTCCTCTCCCTTTCATCTGCAATGTGGTCATCAGGCTGACCATACAAATTAACATGAATACTACAGACTCTACTGGTTATATTGCACATATGAACAACAAGTACTGAGGTTGAAGTGAATCTTTTTCCATGACAGTGATAGCAGCAGTAATAGACTCTCACAATTTTACACACAGCTGGCGTGTTTAAGCTATACAAAGCAGCTGCAATCATTTAGCAGAAGCAACTAAACCTTAATATAATAGTCTAATAGATAAAACACAATGTATCACAATGAAAAACACACGTGAAACACAGTAAAAATAAATGAAAGCGTTCAAACAAAATAGTCAAAATGCATGAAATATCAGAAAATGTTATACCCCGAGATGGGATCAATCAGTACTTGCCTTAAAGACAAACACTGAAGATCTGGCTTCTCAAACTCTCTTTATTTCAATACAAGTAATTGTCCTATAATTAACAAGGGAGGCCTGCTTTTAATTAAGCATGGAAAAAGGGATTTTTAGTGGATCCAACTTAGAGAGACTCTGTAAACAGCTCTTTCAGCGTATATGCACTAAGTCAGCTTTTGTGCATGCTACTACATTTTTTACCTAGCCAGGTTGTCCCACTCTTTTGTGAGCTTTTCCAAGAAAACTTCAACTACATTCATGCGATCATGATAAACCCCCGTCCTCTGCAGATCCTCCTCCCTCTGTATGAGCAAACTGTGTGCCTGAAGGCAGAGGTCCAGCCACTGGTTGCTCAGCTCTCCTATTTCCTTGTGCTCAGGTGATTCTTGTCCTTGGGTTAGTTTGTTCATCTTCTCAGTTACAGAGGTAAGAGCTGACTGCTTAGACTGCAACTTCTGACTGAATTCCTGAAAAAGATACAAGTCAAAACCAATATGGTGACACCTACTCAAAATTATAAGATAGAATTTAAATAAAAACTCTGAACTAAATAAATTGTGTAAGGACTAATTATCTGCCCAGGCAAAAGCTGTGCAGATGTAAATTGGAAGAAGTGCCTTCTCCCCTCCCCTAACGTTTCTCTTCATCTTCTCAGGTGAGGACAGGTTGGTTATAGATGTGAAAGCAGACCAGAGCAGTTTCCAAGTGCCAGTGATAAACAGAAATCATGATCAAGTCACACCTTGTTGTCCAGGCTTCCGGACTAGCAAGCTCCCACCGTACACTAAAACATGCAGGATAGTCTGGGTCTCATAAGAATTCATTTTACCAGTACTGTTTCTAGCTCAGTTTTTTCCTTTTCCTTTTTCATTAGAGACTAAAAATAGGAAGCAGAGTCCATGAGTCAGTGAGTCCCCACATCCATATTTTGCTTTGTTCCTATTTCTATAATAGCGACCATTATTGCTGTCATTATTGAAACAAAGCCAATCATTATCTAGGTATGATTGCTATTTGAGTTAATAAATTCCAGTAAATAAGAGAGTCCATCTGCACACACATTTCTTACTGAATAAGAAGTCACAGAGAACCCAAAAAAAGAATATACAATATACTGACAACTAAAACTAACCAAATATTTTTCAGCACCTACACACTGTCTAGGGTAAATATAATCTTTTCCCAAATTCTAGTTCCAATAACTGTAACTAAACAGCCATGTCCAGCTCCAGCACTTTGCTGGGATGATGCGTTTTCGCTGAGGGCCGGTAGGGGTTCTGGAGAAGAGAAGCTACTGCCCAGTTCTGCCTCATTCCCCTCAAATGCAGCTAGGCATCTTTAATTACGACGGCAAATTCAAGGAAAAAATACACATTGTGCTACATCTGACAGCATATCAGGTGCCTGCCTTTCATAATAATCCAAAGTTCCTGACTGAAATAGTGAAGAAATACAACTCCTGCTTCTTCCTGGACTCTAATGATAGCTAGTGTAACAGCTTTCAGTCCACATTGTGCTGAGGTATCTTCAAGGGCTATGACTTTGTTCAAACACTTGTGTAGAACAGACGTGAAGAGAAAGTGCTGTTTACTTTTCACCTAACTGCTAGCATATCAGAAAAAGAATACAAGCAAAGTCTAGACCAAAAATGCAAAACGCAAGCATTTCATCATTTATCAAAGAAATCTGTTTTCCTGTTTCCTCTTGTTACTTTACTGATGTTTGTGATGTGTGCAGAATGGCCATTCTCTCATCTGTGAATGAATAAGAATGAGTGAAGATCTGAAGGCATTTGTCTCACTATTTTGAGTAAACTAAATTGGGTTTCTACCATACCTATTCTCCAGTGGTTTTCAGAGTCCAGAAACATTGAATAGTTTCCTAGACTAATTTTAAAATAGATCTAAATAATTTAGAAGTATCAGAATCAAAGAACTTAGCAAGCACAAATTGCAGATCTTATCTTCAGGTTCACTGTGATCAGCAAATAGCCTATTAAAAGTGACGGCAAATCAAAACAGTAGGCTGAAAATTGTCTACTGTTAAAAAAACAAAACCAGAAAAATATTGAAGTACAGTGTTTTGCTTTCTGTGTCACCCTGTAGCATCAATAAGGAAACCTTCTTTCCTCTGTCTTCGCTGTTCTTGCTTAGAACATATGAGCAACTCTATGCAATACATGCATATAACATGAATTATAATAATATCAGCCACAGGATGAACTTCTTCCTTACCTTCTGTTCTTAACCTAAAGTCTTCTTACCTTAACTTGGAGTACCATATTCTGGGCAATGTTTAGCTCCAACTCCGCTCGTCTCCTTTTCAAATTCTGTAGTTGTTGATCTGCATCCTGGAAATATATCCAGAGCTCAGCCTTCATTTGTTTGATCTCTTCCCAACCTTGAGCCAAATACTGTGAGTGCATTATTTGTTGCTCAATCTAGAAAACAAGAAATGAAAAGGAGTAGGAATGCTTTAATGCAGCTATTTTTGCAGAATGGAGGATGAATACCATTCTTCCTCCGAGCACAATACTGTACTAACAGCAAATTTCTGCAATAGATCTGAAGGGGCTAATACTATCCACAAAAGAGGCTTAACGTTCAAAAGTCATAAAAATCAGACCTATCAAAGGAAAGCTGTGGAAAAAAAAAAAGAATTATCATTCACCTTTGAGAGAAGCAAGTATATTTATGAGTGTGTGTATTTCAAAGTGTTCTCAGCCTTCTGTTAAAGCTTAGATTAATTGTTTGATTTAGTCTATTGCATGCCAAGAATACTGCCAGACCCTACCTGCCTTCGCAATGACCAAATAAAAGCTTAAACTAAACACTTTCATTTAATTTGCTTAGCCCAGTTACTTTGCCTATATGCCTTTTGTAAAATGCCAACAAGAAGAATGCTTACCAGATCTGAGCCCATCAATCACCTTAAACCAATAGTGACACAGCTTCTTTTGCTCCAAATACAGCAGTGGGGTGCCTTTAAGGTTTAGACACTCAACCAGCTTAATGTATCTCAGCACTGTACCGTCTGTGATTTCTTAAAAATATTTCACTGCTTGATATATAAAAGGAGAATCTTATTCTGATGTTTGGGATACTTTTTGGCTATTCAGTATTGGGACTGCCATTTTTTTATGGATTACTTGGATTTGTACAATTTGCTTCTCTGGTATGGAATACTGTTACTGTATATATTAGACTTTTACTGTTGGTAGAAGTAGTTTCAAATGTTTGGTGTTGTGTGTATGTGAAACTAAAATTTTCATGTTTACAACAACAGGAATGCTTATAATGTTTCTTTTCTAATAACTCTTATGTTTATAATTTTATTCTAAAACCAAGAATTAAGCTACTTTAAAACTTAGAATTGATGTACACTTCCATAAATTCATATGCTGAAACAGATGCACTCTGATTTACGAATTGAACCATCATAATTTTTTATGATTGTAATTAATATTTTAGTATATCCTAATAAGAACATCAGCCTACTGTTGAATAAATAATAACAGTAAAATATGTCTAAGCTTTAATAAAATACAGAGAAGAATAGATTGAATTGTGTTTCATGAAAACAAATAATTTGGACCAGGTTATCTTCCATAGAATGTTTTTTGTGTGGCTTTAGGCCAACATCTTGTAACATTGTCTAAGTACATTTAGCGACCTTTGTCGTGTGTCTTTGTATTACTACCAGGATAGCAATGTATGGATTTAATTTAAAAAAAAAAAAAAAGAGAGAAAAAGAAAACTATTTCTAAATTAAATACTTAAGATGAAAGTAAAAAGACATTTCTTTAAACCAGTACCCAATATGACCTTTTTAAAAGGGGACAGATCAAGGCAGTTAAAGCTCAAAATAGGATTAAAAGCAGGTTGTTGTGGCTATCTTGTACCGTTTGTTTTGTTTGTTGAATATCTGTTGCTGTACTCTTCACTGTGGCATCTGACAGATCACACATGGAGCACAGAAGATCCAAGTATGTATTGGCCTGCTCCTGCACAGCCCGGAAATGTTTCACCTGAGGGAACACAATCCTCAAATAAACTCTGAGACTGTGAAAATAATCTCTTATTTTATTACAATCATGCATTTCAGTATTTTTACTTTAGCTTATTATTTCCAAAAGATGAAATGTAGACATACACTATTTTATTAGGTAAGGCTGCTCTGTCATAATTATGGAAAAGAGTAACTCTAAGTGATTATTATCCAATTATCAAAGCACTTAGTGACATATGTATTACCTAGCTTATTTCTTTATTTATAAAGCGTTGGATAGATACACACCAGTTTCAGCAAGGTGACTTACTTTCCCAAGATGAATGGGAAGCAGGGCTTTATCTGATTATTAAAGTGTCATGTTGCCCATACCTATAAAATTCTCCAGTGTCTGACAGATCATGGGGAATCCAGCCCAGTGGCACAGCACACTTTCCCACACCGTCCGAAACCCTCCCAATGTCCCCAATATCTACAATTGCCAAGATCAGACATGACACTGTTGAGGGTTCTTGCTCTCGACATTGCCCATATGAGCTCACCTCTCCCTATGAAGAGTTTCCTCATCCAAAAGAAAATGATGACATTAGTGTTGACAAGCAGGGCAATAACATACCTCCTAGAGTCCCAGGGAGGAGGGGTGAGTGATCACCTAATGCAGAGGGCCAGTGGTGGGTCCTTGTGGGCAAAAAATTGATCATGACAGCAGCGTGCCCTTGTGGCAACCCCAAATTACTGTATCAGCAAGAATGCAGAGAGCAAGCTGTGGGAAGCGATTATTCTCCTGTACTTATACTTGTCAGGCTCTGCCTGGTGTATTTGGCCCAGTTTCCCTCTTCCCTCATAGAAGAGATATTGGCAAACTCATGCAAATCCAGCAAAGGGCTGGGGGGATATGGGGCTGTAGTACATGGCATTTGGGCAGGTCTGAAGGAACTGGGTTTATTCAGCCTGGAGAAGAGAGGCTAATTGTGGTCTGCCGTTACTTCAAATGGTAGGGGTCAGGTGGGGGCAATACTGAGAAGACAGAGAACAAACTCTTTGCCGAGGTGGGCAGAAAAAGGACTAGAGGGAAAAGTGACAAGCTGCAACAAGGAAATTCTTCCTAGATATGAGGGAAAATATTTTTCATACTGAGAACAGTTAAGCACTGGAACAAGTCCCTAATCCTCAGGGACGGTCAGGGCCCTCAGTGCACCAAAGGGCTCTTGCAACCTCTATCCCCCTCTCCTTGGGGTTGCCTCTGCTCAGGGCCAGCCCTGACTTGGCCCAGCTGCGACCTGGCCAATGGAAAAGCATTCAGAAGCCCTCCCCCTTGTTCGAGAGCTGCATGTAAGCTCAGGCCCTCACCCACCTATGGACCTCACCTGAGTTACGGTATAGGTGCATCTGTGTCTGGCTGATCCTCCTGGTCTTGCCTTGCTGCCCTGACCTCCTGCCTCCACCTGGGACTGGCCTCATCCCTACAGACTTGCCTGGTGATCACCAGATGGTGGCTGACACCAGGGGGACTCTGCTCTCCTCACCTGTCTGCTGCAGGTCTGCACGTCATTGGGAAGGTCTTTGCTGGCCCCACTGTCATCCCCTGATCCCCCCGCCCTTGCGGAGCTGCCATCTGTGTATTTCAAGGTCTCTGTTAAGCCACATGGTGGATGAGACAGCCCTGAATTCCAGCATTTTTAGTACCATACCCATTTAATTTGAAAATAGGTACAAATCCAATGTAAAATACATTAAGTTATTAAGAATATTCAAGAAGCAAAGAAACCATTCTTAACGGCTAATTGTGGGCTAGAGGCAGTTCCACGCTCTTAGCCTGAAAAATTGTTTTAATTGCCTGATAACAAACTCTCTGTCCATGGTACTATGAAACCAGGTCTCATATAGGAACATTAGTAGACAGATGTGCAATTGGACAAGCAGAAAGACACCACCCCTCTGCTAAAGACATTTGTGGAGTACGTGAGCAGGTTTATCTAATTAGCCAACTTTTTTCAGGAAACGTATTTCTAAGCATTAAGCTGAGCTAGCAGAAGCCCTGTGTTATTTTTCACCTACAGTTATTTTTCACTCGAGGTATTCCTTTTGGAGCTGGGAACAATGAGGCTACACAGCCTTCTGAGAAGTTCAGAGAGAGTATCTAATTTCTATTAATATAAAGCTCTTACTTGAACTCACCTAATTAAAGATAACTGAGTATTTTCAAGTGCTGAACTTTTACCTGTTTAACTGCATCTGCCAGGCTGAAAGGTGGCCAGGTAGTTGGCTTTAGCTCTGACTCCACTGTAGACAGCCAAGTCTGGCACTGTTGTAGGGTATCCTGATGATTAACATGCTTCTGGAGTTCATGTTCCAAACTCTGGTACACCTAAAATAAACATTTTGTAAGGTCGTCGCATTTTCAAAAACCACTATTGGCTCTCTTCTCCTACCTTGAAAACTGCAAATAAAATTATTAAGACTGGGGTTATTTTAGCCCATGTACATGAAAGCACCAAGGGATGAAAGCTCCTTAAGCTCTCACTGCATCTTGCTAATTTGGGGAGAAGATGGACAATATCTGAGGCACGGCTTCTGGAAAGAAAAAATAAAAATGCAAACGAAGAGCGTGGTCTCTTATTTCTGTATTCTTTGCCAGTGATCTAGTATGAGGTTTTACCTACCTCTACACATCTTACTGACTATGAAGTCTACTTTTTGGGGTTTTGTTTGGTGGGGTTTTTTTTGTTTGTTTGGTTGGTTTTTTTTTTTAAGACTGTGCTGACTTGATCTCCTAATTGGATTAACAGAATGACCCAGCTAGCCCTTCTTAAGTGTATATTCTGGTTTTACTTAGAGAAAGAGTATTTCCTAGCACATAATTAAGACCCGTTATGTACGTATGCAAACTACTGACATTAAAAGTGCAATTTGCTCCCTAGTTTTTGAAGTAGGAATAGTTCCGGTTTCCTTGCTGCAGCTGCTCAGAAGCTAGTGTAACGTGAAGGTAGTGAGGGTGTGGAAAGATTAAGGTAAGAACTGATAAGCAGCTAGTTTTGCTGGCTGCATGGATCACACAGAATTCAACTGTAGCACAGTAATGATGAAGTGCTACATTAGTAACTTGTATGCTCAATTTAAATGGAAACAGTAGAAAGAATTTTACACCGTTTAAAGAAACAAGTACTTAGAGAAATAATAATGCGTGTTATTCTTAAATGGCATAAAAACATTTCTGAAACAAGACTTACTCTTTGGGCTGTGCTACATATGGCAGAATAGCTGTCCTTTGTCCCCTGAAGATGGCTTTGTATGTTTTGTTTAAATTTTGCTTGAAGATGTTCTGTGCACTGATTGATCAAGTAATCGCCTTTACTCTTAAGGCTGTTCAAACGATCTTCAAATCCTGCAATTTCTTCCATGATAGCCTAAGAAATAGATAAAATACTTAAAACATGTTCTGCATCACAGCTTTTTAAATGAGCGCTCATGCCCCAAGACTACCCTTAATCTTCCTTTGTTGCATGCTCTCCAGGGCTCCACCAACTTCTCTTGTGTCTAGTAATGAGGACTAAATCTGATGCTGAATCATATCTTATTCCATAAACTATTCCACTGTAGACCGTTCTTTCCATTGACTTTGGTGGAGCCAAATTTTTATCTAAGGAGGTTACTTAAAGAATAACAATGCTAATCACAATGAGTTTCACAATGAGTTAAGAGATTTCAATATTTGCCCTTGGAATCCCAGTTTCAGGGAGTGGTCGGGAGGGTTGGATTTTGCTTTCTTTTATCTTCTAGAAAGCATCAACTATCGATGTAGTGAATGACCACCATTAATAGCAACCATAACAATACCTTGAATAAAAGCAACAGAGGAATTATTACAACCTAATGGAGGAGAAGACAAAAAAAAAAAGTTTTGAAAATTAATTTTTTTTTTTTTTTACCCTTAAAAGTGCCAGAGCAAAAAGTGCCTTAGGAATAAAATGGCCCTAATCTGCTTTTTGTGGTTTATCTCCTGGGACATCTCAGCAAAAATCTGACACAGAATTCAGACCAGTGTACAACAAAGGTCTTGTGCAGATGCAGTCTCATCCAAGAAACAGTGCTAACAACAAGGTAGATTTGTTAACTGCATTAATGACACCGATGCTTACTTACACAGTTAGCAGTAAAAGGAATAAAACAGGTGGATGACAAATAACTAGAGCTCTGGAGTGGAGACAGAGAAGCAAAGAAGAAAAATTCTATTTTACCAGATAAAAGACGTTTACCCAATAGCAAACTCACCTTGTGGTTAGCTAGTTGCTGAGTGATTATTTCAAGATTGTTACTCTCCATGAGGTCAGGGCTGACCAGCCTGCTGGACATATGTAATAACCATTTCTCCCCTTCTTGCAAATCACTATTGTAATCTTCATGTTCTTTTACTCTCGCCTCTAAGGTTTCAACATATGCCTGCAGGTCCATAATAACCAAAATTAAATATTCAGGTAATTACAAGAATTAAAAAAACCCTAAACCAAAACCCACCAAGAGCTTGAAAGCATAGTAAGAGAGTTATCTTCTAAATTTATATTCCTGTGAGGGACTCTCACATTATTAGACTGTTAAGGAAAACATCAAAGGGATTCCTTGTGTGAATAAACTCTGTGGTACTAAGCAGTATTTTCACTCCAGATGAAATACCATGCTTTGAAGACTAAGGAAAACACTGAGGATCTCCTTACTTCAAGAAAAGGTACACTGTAAATTTGACATTAAGTTCACTTAGAAGCAGTTATTACATGCTGTTTGAGAGACTGTACATGACCTATTGGGTCCCTGTTGCGTACAGCCTTTGCACGTACATATTGCCTGTGATTGTGGTAGGCACATTAAGAATGTAGACATTGAGTTAAAATGTATTTATTCTTTTTAAGAAAGAGTTTTCATAAGTTTCTCTGCCTTTAAGTCATCAACATTACATCTAATGCAACAGATACCAGTTTTGTGGTACAGATCAGAGGAATGGCTGTAAATTAAAAATCAACTGTGAAAAAAATAAAATCATCTGCTATTGGTGGATGGATTGGCAATTAAAGGTACTTAGGTCAAACATAAGTACTAACATGGTTTGCAGAGCTTATCCTTGTTAGGAGTATAACCTATTAAAAGCTTTAGGAATAATCATTCTTTAGGACGTATTTAGAGTATTAGATCTTTCAAAGTACTACATACATGTGGACTAATGAATCAATGTTAATTAATAATGGCCTTGCTGAATTAAATTATATCCATCTTGCAGTTCATTTTCTCCAGTGACTTCCATTCAACAACTAAACTAGATTAAACAGGGTTTGAGTGAGATCTAGTAGAAACAAGAGACAAAATGGTATAATTTAAGAGCATCTGTCCCTTCAAGAAATAATGTATCTAGAAATCTATTCCAAGCTATTAAAAATAGTAACACTAGTACAAACTAGTCACTGATGTATTTCCCCTTAGTGCTACGAATACCTGCCACACTCAAAATTCATTTCAGCTACCCTTGTTAGATTTATTTAGGTAGAAGTTCTTTCCATATTCAAGAATCACCCCCTCC